GAAGAAAATCTTATTCAACCTTTCACTGGTCCATGAATACCTGGCCTTGGGACATATTGCAGAGGAGAAGCAATGACAATGATTGTCAGGTGAGAGGAATATCCAGATATTGTAAGACTCCAGCTTTGAAAAGTGATTTCTCAGCCAGCAGGGACCTTATTATTGAAGTAAATAAGATGCTAAATGGAATAGAGAAATCCAGGAAAAATATAGTCAAATCTACTAAAACATCAGGACAAGAGTTCATAAGTTCAGGGTTGAAGGGCAATTTTAGGGTAGATGCCAGGAAGTATTTCTTTACACACAAAAAAGCCAGGATAATGTAGTCCAAAACACTGATTGTCCAGCACTTTGGGACGTCCTCCTGACGTGAAAGGCGATATACAAATGTAATTTTGTTGTTGTAGTTAGATTGGGATAAGATTCCAGAATCATTTTTTTTTTAAAATAGCTTGAAACTGTAAAAGGAAGATGGTAGTTTTGATGGTCACTCTGAAGTGTGAGATTAAATTAAGAAAAGGCCCTTTATTCAGCTGAAATTAACTAGCCTTTTTCAAAAGAATTTTTCTGAGGACCAAAAGGTTAGGCTAATCTGGCAAAAAAAATTACACAAAGCCATTATTTTACATTGAAAGTTCTCCCTCCATTTAGCAATGTTCACTTGTGATGAATATGAATCCAACTTATTTGGCCTTTGCTTCTAATTGGATGTCAAAAGCGTAGAAAGCACGGGTAGAAATAAGAAGAGTAAAAATGAGACAAGTATGAGATACAAAAGAGGAGATGAAAAGGGAACCAGTAAATTAAATTATTCATTTTCAAAGGATTATTCAGCAGATATCTTAAAAATTACTGCAGTAAATCCCCAGCAACTGAGTAATTCCAAGTCTGAAGACCATTATCCCCCAATCCCTTCAAAACAGGATTCCATATTTTTTTTAAAATGTAACCCTACCCCATAGCACAACTGTGCTCCAGTGAAGCAATCTGATTGAGGTCCTCAGGCCATTGAACAGCACTAATATCCAGTTTCATTCTTCGTGGTTTCAAAATTGGATTTTTGAGCAACCAGAAATGCTGTCACAATAAATTTCATCTCATAACTTGGCTCACACAGCAATACTGGAAATGCTCTGCAACACACAAAAGCCCAGGGTGACAAGTATGTATGTTCCTGGAATTATTATTTTGTTTCAGAGAAGGGTGGTGGTGGGAGGGAGAGATGGATGCAGGGAGTTTTCTGTTTCTCCAGTGTTCTTTCTCTTCTGAGGGCTGTAGGTGCACATCTCCTGTGAAGCACTTTGAGACATCTCGAAGCCTTGATAAGGCGCTGTACCAAATGCAAGGGTTATTATTATTATTATTATCTCCAGTTAGCACTCCCACCTTCCAAAGAAATGTGTTTGCTCCATTCAGTAACATCAGTCAAGTGAAACACGTTAGTTAAGTAAGTTAATGACCAATACAATTAGATGTAGTCTTATGGGAATTAACCAAATATACTGCACAATAAAAATCACAGTGGTAGAGTGTGAGTTAACTACCGCCAGAAATTCCAAATCTCAATCAACGTCAAGCAGCCAGCAAGTGGAAACAATGAGAGGAAATTAATCAGAGCAATAAAAAGATCACAGCGACCTGCATTACTCTAACACACCTTCAAATTTCATTTCCAACTATTCCAGTTTGAAATGGTGCAGAGAAGGAGAGACATAAAGGAATTGGGAGAGCCTTCTCCCTTATTCACTCGCACATCTCTTCATTCCAATCAATTTTCCTTTAAATCATTACAAACTTTAACAAAAGATTCCTTTTTAATATTTGTAAAGTGACTTGTAATAAATCTTCTTGCTTTATTGTACGCTAACTCTACAGTAACTCACCTCTTTCTGTTTTGATGTAAGAGAAACTGTTTCAGTTGTATTGAATTGATCTTCATTGAGCCCTGTTGCTCAGATGTTCGCAATTATTAGGAATTATGACCCTGGGCCATTGTGTTACTTAGTAACTGAATTACTCTTTTAACAATAATCTAATTGCCAAAGAAAGCTTTGATTAATACATGCTAAAAAAAATCTATAATCTTAGAACAAGTTTACTTATATCCATCTACCAATGATTGCAATGATAGAACATATCAGCATTTTTCATGTGGCGATAGGGCAGCACGATTGACGAACTTGGCTCTACCTCATATTTAAATGAGCTCTCTGTCCCCCTATTCCATTATACAACATATTAGAACATTAGTTATAGCTAGAGCATATTCATCATCAAACTCCATGGGTGTCAGATCGCTATTGGAAAAGTTTAGCTCCAGCTAATCATCTACAAGTCAGTCACTTCATATTAACTACCTTTGATGACTATCCCTTGAGATAGTCTAATTGATAAATTTCTAAATAAGACAGATGGTGTTTTATGTTACTAACTTAAACAAAAGAGTTAAGCATTCATTCTTGTTATGACAAAACCTCATTTCTCAAAGTCTATAAACTTTGTTAGCTGAACACCGTATCATAGCTCCATTGTCTTCCTAAATAATGAAAACATTAATCAGATCCTATAGAAGCATTCAAAAATCTTAAGACTTTCACATCAGGGAGAGGGATACAGAAGGGTACAGGAGGGAGTAAGGAATGGGTGAAGACTAGTGTGGACTGGTTAGGCCGAGTGACCTGTTTCTGTGCTGCACATTCTTTGTCAATCTTTATGAATTATAAATCTAGAGATCGTCAAATAGTTCCACTGATGGTCACAAAGTTAGTGGCACCACCTGGAACTCTATCCCCTTCACCTTGCTTCCTCCTTTTCCTCCTTCAAGGCCGGTCTCAAGACCTTTCTTTTTGACCGTGCCTTCAGCTCCCCTCTCGACTCTCTACCCCCTCCTCGCTCCCTCCCTTCCCTCCCTCACCCTGACCATTTCCCCCCTGCTCGGGTCCTGACCCAACTGTACAGCGCCTTGGGACGTCCTCCCGACATGAAAGGCGCTCTACAAATGGAATCTTGTTGTTGTTGTTGTAGTGCTATGCAAGGCACACCAGATCACTTGATGCTAGTAGTTCTACACTTGGAGGATTCTGATCAATAGCGAACTGTACTAAGCGTATGTACAGTATATATATATATCCATTTGTTCAAACAATGGAATTGGCGTTCATTTGCATACTAAAAAGGTCAATTTGCTTTCTTAAACAAGTGTCTATGTGCCCATACTGTGCACAATTATGCATGTTACTTATATCAATCTGTGTCATGGTACGGTTCAGTTACTTTATTGCCTGGGTTTGTGCAGATTACATCATCACATATGTACACCTGTCAATCACAGACAAGGGAGAAAACAAGTAGAACAAGGAGAATTAGTGAGGAATGTAGATGCAAAAACAAATTATTACACAAGAGCTGATTTAATCATGTACATTTCACATCCTTCGCCTGTGTTCTGACACCCACTCTAAACTGATCAAATTCAGCTGGTTAATTGTGAAATTGTTCATTTGAATTTTACTCCAAAGCAGCCTCATGATTCAAGTACTCTGTTGCCTGTTATTATGAGGAATCATGTGTTTGTTTTACCACAACATGCTTCAACTTTGATACTGTAGTCTTTCGTAATTAGAGCTGCTATATTAGGTAGACCGATTTGAAGAACATTTATAATAATCCTTAATTTGACAATGGACCTTTCAATTCAGGATGTCCCAAATCGCTTCACAGGATAACTTTAAAGCGCAGTGACTGTAAGCGTTGTGTGCATTTCAACCAGCATTAGACTAGACCGCTGTACACCTCTTAGTTATACTCTAATTCACAATTAGGACATTAGCTAAAATGATTTATTACCAGGATTTGACCCATGCTGAATTGCTTTACTAAGGTTCAGTTGTAGCACCACGTTGCTTAATTTTAATTCTTTAAGCCCAACTGCTGAAACGAGGGCTGTATTTGATACCCTAATCAAGAAACATTTCACTGCTTTAATCTGATTAACCACTAATCCTTTAAGAATTCAGTTATAATCAGATTTGAAGTTATTCTGATGAAATGCTGGATCTGCAAACATACTTTGAGAAATAATTTTGTTTCTAATATGCTATATCTGACAAGTTTTTTTTGAAGGCTTTTGAGAGATCATTTTTTCCAAGCCTACCATCTTCACTGCATCAAGCAGTTATGATGCCTCAACTACTCTTCTGTGAAAGCTGTTCCAGCTGTTAGTTATTATGTGTAAATATTTTCTATTTAACAGATAACATTTTGTAGGTCTGGACTGCTCCTTGTTGGCAGAGGGTGTGGTGATCTGCCAATATCCTATGAGCCAGCTGCCAGAAGCTATAGGGTTTCACATAAATTTGCAGACAAGTGTAATTTGGTTCAGTTAACAGAGGGTGTGGTGTGTGCATTGAATAAGAACTGAGACAGCCAATATTTTCAAAGAGAGATTAACAGGGCAATGCACCTGGCTTTATCACTGCCACATAAAAAAAAGTATTAGAATAGAATTTGAGAAAATTGAGGATACCTATTATTTTTTTATTATCATTATTTATTGCCTAAAATATGCATAGAACGTAACAATGTTTATTGATTTTTTTAAGCCCTACAAAATATCACTTTTGTATCTTTGCTCTGCCTTCAGTTTTTAATCAAATTGTCTGCTATGGTCCATTTACTCCAACTATTGGCTACAAATTTGGGATGTAAGTATAGAATTTATAAACTGTAGTATTGACAAAAAACATTTCTAGAGTACTCCAAATCTGCCACTAGATGGTGCTTCTAATTCAGTTGAATTAGAATATTGACTATCCACTATTGACAGTGAACAAAGTCACAGGTGTAAAGTGATCGCAGAAGTAAAAGAGCCTATTTTCATTAGAGCCTATTAGCCTATCTTTGGTGAATTGTTCTAGTTGGTAATGGATAATGTTGGCAGGTTGTAAAATGAATAAATTTAATTTATGGGTCGCAAATATTTTTTAAAAAATGCAAGATCGTCAATCATATCTTAACTTTAATTTATCCAGATCTGAATTACCGATGCACAATACAAAATTGAAGATTTTAAAAAGTGCTGACAAGTACACGTTGAATCAATAATCGTCCATTAACCAAGGGTCTACTTCAGATCCCCTGTATTCAAAGTTTTTCCTTTTAATTGACAGAAAATGAAGAAGTCACTTATGCTTGGTTAAAATGAACAGATCGTGAAGTAAGGCAAAGTTAAGAATGGATTGGGCAAGTTCAGTTTTCCTTCCAACCAGAAACAAGACATTCACTTAGCACAGAGGATGTGAAGATGTGGACCTCTCTAAGTTGCTGGCCTGTAGATATCAGAGGGTTGCTTGTCTGAGTTAAGCCAAAGTAGTGTATCCGGGGGTGTAATCTCCACTGCTGTTACTTGAGCATTCAAGCCCCAGTGGAAATTTCAAAACTAATACCGCGTTATCATCTCAAAAGTCAAACCTTTTTAGTACCAAAACTACCAATACTTGTTCTTCTGACAGAAACTGAGCAGACTTTTTTTTAAACATTCAAATAGCAGAACCTACCAATACTCTTCCTGGGTTTTGGTGAATAGGATTGTCTCCCAAGTGTGATATAAATATTAGTAAATGGGAAATACGTCAAAGTATTTAAGCTTATCAGAAAACATTGACTTACTTTCTTTTGGTTACCATGTGATCAGATAAGATTTTTTTAGGAGATAAACTTAATAATAATATGAAGAGAAACTAGAGTCAATGACCAAGTTATTTTATACAAATTTATACAATTGCTGAATTTATAAAGGGTCAGAAAATCGCTACTCCTATAAGGAAATAGGTCATTCATTTCATAAGTTTTTGGAACATAAATAACGAAACTTCACCTCATAGCTTCACGTTTTGAAATATTGCAATATTTCTCAGCAGCAAAATTCATTAGCAAAACATGCAAGTGAGGTCACCAAAATTAGACCAAGTTGAACTAAATGCAATTTCAGTTGCTACACAGTTGTTGCAGACAAACATTGCTATGAAATGGTCTCAGATTTTTCATACCTGTACAATGTTCTTTTTAATTGATATAAAAAAGTATTTTTTAAAAATTACAACTTAAACCGGCAGGAACAAGTTTCAGTTCAGAAAAGGAGACAAAGAACACGATTTTTTTTCAAAGACAAAAAGGAAGAATTCAGTAATGTTTCCGGACGATAGAATGGTGTCCACAAAACTTAAAAAGGCAACGATTTTGACACTTGGCTTCCTGCTTTATATGAAAAAGAACCCTTGAAATTACACTTCCTGTAAATCTCTGCGTGAAAAACCATAAAGTGCAAACTATTTATCTGGTTAGAAAACAACTGTTGACAAATGCAAATCCACATCATAGTAACAGTGGTTATACAACTAACCAAACTGTATTAGTCGTACAGCCTTTGCTGTTAATTATAAAGGTAGTGTGTGCAATTGCACTTCAAAATGCAGCAGTGATTGGAAACCGTACGCCACGATTAATGATCAGTGACAGTCATTCAATTTCGAACAAATCTCTATTCCAGGTTTCTTAACGGAAGCACTACCAGCCAAACATGTACTCCATGGCTTTGGAAACTAGGCTGTCATCCTTTTTAGGTGTCTGTCTATCTGCAATCACCTTAAAACAAAAAGGGAGAGNAAAAAAAAAGAACATTACATTTTGCACAAAGGTTCCTATTAAATTTCAACTGTTCCCATTGAACAATGAACCATTGCAGCCGGAATAAATCCAGTTTGCACATACCTGGTAGTCGCTGCTGGAAACTTTGTATGCAGCTGCCAGGGGTCTCATTGCAGGTGTTTTTGGTGTGCTTGTGGACTTTGTAGGCGTGCACACTGTTTTTATGGGAGGAGTGAAGACTGATGAAGTAGAGACAGGGTTTCTGTTGCAGCCGTCCATGACACCCTTGAAAACGCACAGAAGTAATTTTGTCACTATTTTTACATCATCTTTATAAATTTCAACAATGAACACAAAGTACTTAAGCAACACAAAAAATACAAAATTACATTTGTAAAGGACCTTTTGTGTCGCGAGGACATCCCAAAGCGCTGAAAGCAAATTAATACAAGATACATCTTTTGCCAAGAATGCAATTTCTTAACTATTCCTCTGGTAGAAGGAACAAACATCAAATATTCTATTCATTGCAGGTAAATATTGTTCAGAATGGAGGTGGGGGAAAAAAAAATGGAGTGTTTGAAACGGTATTGATACTTTGATACTGTTTCTCCAACCCTCCCCACTATTTTAAGAGAAACTGTAAAGAGCAAATGCTAATGATCAGGGAAAGTGTCTGAGGAGTGGAGTCCGCAAGTCCTACACTGATTCACTATGTAAACAAACCTTTGATATGAAAGAACTTAAAGACAACAGATTGTACTGCACACATCAGTAGTACTGTCAAAGATATAATGTCTTTTCAAAGCCTCCCCACGTTAGTTTCCATCAGCAACTTGATGACAATGTTCAACTGTTTGTTCACCAATTATTTTGAAGTTTAATATATTATTGGTATACAAATTCAGCAAACCCACCTTTTCGATGCATGGCTTAACTCCAACCATGATGGCTTCTCCAAAAATCTTGCCATCTTTACTTAGTGCTTTCCTGGCTTGGAGTTTAGACTGATATTGAATATGCATCCAGTTCCCATTGTTTGACATCTGCACAATGTTCAACAACCAAAGTCTATGTTAGATATACTTGGCACTTTTAATGCATTTCAATTTGTGATCAAGCTGTTCAACCACAATATATACTATGTTTCTCATGGCAATTCAATGTGAAAATTGCAATGCATGAAACACAAATAATATAATACTAATAAGCCTTGCATTTGATATAGCACGTTATCACATCTTCTAGACATCTCAAATCACTTCATAGAATTCTGGGCGAAACGCGGCAGCCAATTATGCACAGCAGTGTCCCACAAAAACAGTCATGGATTGAGTGACCAAATTATTGTAATTTTTGTTAAAAAAAATTAAATTTAAGATAATTATTCAAACAAATAACATGTAATCATGTACAAGAGAGGAGTCTTCATTTATAGAGATTCAGAATAAAAACGATTAGGGTATGATCAATGACTGAGGATTTCCAGCTAATGGGAAGCTGCTGCAGCAAAACTAATCAAATGCTACGGTACAGCATGAGGCAAATGATTACAAATCAAAAGGGGCTAGTCTAACTTTGTCAGTCGAGGATATATGCAGAGGATTGTGTGCCAATAGGGCACCCTACCTTCAAAAGAACATTCAAGCGGAAGAGAGGATTCAGAAGCAAGGATGATTGAGAAGGGGGGAAAAAAGAAAATCAAGGTCTTTAAACAAAAAAGTTTGATGTAAGCAACTAGAGCTTTTAGTGATGAGAAAGTAGAAGTTTTTTGTCTCATTATGTAGATAGTGCAAGAAAAAAAAAGCCCCAAATTTCACCTAAAAAATACAACCCAGGAGAGACCACAATAAATTTACATCAACTGGAAAGCACAATCACACAAATGACAGAGCCTTACCACGTGCTTCAGTATATTTCCATATTGTGCAAACTGTAAGAGGATGTAAGAAGCGGATGCTGGAGGAAACCTGTAAAAAGGCAAAATATTCTTAGCCTTTTATTCCAAATTATGCTGCTGTATATGATAGTGAAAAGCTAATGGTGCACACCAGTGAAGATTAAACTTTCGCTCGGTATTTTATCCACCCAGAAGAATTATTTTATACTTTCCAGCGAAATAATACAAACCCAAAGACTGTAATCCAGGTATCATCTAGGTAATCGTTTGAGGTGAGAGACTCCCCCTGAGTGTAGAAAGGATCAGCTTGTGCGGGAGAAAGAGTGGCCTTCCTATGCTGTCCAATAGTAGCTGGACTAAATACTGGACCTAAGGTACAAAGAACACTTATTAAGCAAGGCTTTATCCAATGCTCTACGCAATGCCCTTCTGCACACAACTCAATCAGTTTTTCTACAAGAGAAAATTATTAACGTTGTCCCAATTTTGTCCAGGAGCGCATAAAACTGGATTTTAAATACCTGCGTGTCTAAACAGTGTATTGAAAATTACATTGCAAAAGGACCCTTGACTTAAACTGAGAACATTTTTAACACTAAAGTTCTGAGAAACTCCATTATTCACTGGTCATCTTTAGGGAATAGCTCCAGCTCGACATTCTCCTACACCACCAGGAATAATTTTAAACCTTTTTGACTTTGATCTACAAATGCTTTTATCATTACATGCTTTTATCTGAAATGCTGTACTCTGGGAGGACGCCTTGGGACGTCCTCCCGACGTGAAAGGTGCTATACAAATGTAATCTTATTGTTGTTGTTGTTATGATGTGACCAGCAAGGTTTGCAAAGTAATGATATGCCCTCAATGAAAGTGTCCAATACTTTGGATTAGAATTGTCAACACTCTAGCATTTCACAGCCACTATAAAGCATCACTAGGATTTTAACAAGAGAAAATGTAACAAGCAAGAAATATTATTCCTTTTAGAGACACTACAACCAGTTAATGCATCCAAAATAATTACAGTATTATGAATGAAGTGTACAGCAAAGCTTTTCAGTATTTAGACAAAACCAGAAAGAAATCTATTCTCTAGGTCATGTTTCTATGAAGAGGTTGCAAATACCTCATATTCAGTGTACTAACAAATGACATACACAAGTACTTACATGATCCAGGTGTTAACTGACTATTTACAGAAGGAGGCGTTTGTATATTTGAAATGTTGGCCTGCAAAAAAATATATAATTAGCCCAGTAAGATGGTCAATTACATTAATTGTCACTTCCGGCAAATAATGGATCTGTTGACTGGATTTATTATTATATAATTGCTAAATTATATTCAATTTTAACTCAATCAAGTGTTCTGTAAGTTTGATTTAGCTTTATTTTAAATAAACTTTCCATTAGTTTTCTGAAAGAGAAAATCAACATGGTCAATCTTCAATGAATGGCTAACGTGGTCAAATATGCACGTACACACACAAATCACTTTTACTCAAAGTAGATGCAATGTGGTACTGATCTCTATTAAAAGTCATCCAAATGTTACACTGAGGCAAACATATAAATATTTTCCCCCCCAAAAGAAAACACCCAGTTGCTTACCAGTTTACGCGAAGATAAGGGTGTGAGTCCACCTCCTGCAGTTCCCAAATCATCATACAAACTACGAACCGGTGGAGCACCACTTTTATCTTTAGGTGTACAACTGGGTACAACTGGCTGGGGAGGTGTGCCTCCTGCATTTCAGAATAATAAAGATAAACGCATAAAATACTTAGAATTGTCTAAGAAGCCTTTACAATTACAGGTCCTTTCAAAGAACTGAAAACTTGCTTTCCAAACATTTCAAAACCCGAACCAAGAAAATCCAAGGAAGGAACAAGATTTCTGCCAAGTTTTCTTTTTGTAATAATGCAGAACACTTACCTCCGAGAGGAGATCGCAAGTCCATTATACCAGCACACGTTCCACCAAAGGTGCGTGGCTGAGGAGTAACCGGAGCTGGTAAATCCCCCATGAGGAAACCAGGCAAAAACTGGGCACCCGCCCCAGGCTTAGGAGATGAAGGTGATCCCAAGGCCATTGGCTCTGATCCTGCAAGAAGAAAAAAAAATCTGATTTTTCAACTGAACACCTAAATTTGTAAATTCTTAAAACATGCACTGGAAGTGATTGAACTATGCATCTATTTTCTACTTCAGGTAAAAGATGCGCAGAAAAAAACATTATCCCCATCACCAAACACATTTCCTTTATAAAAAAAGTTTAACAAAATAACATGCAACAAAAATGGGCAACCATAAAAGCAGGGGAGAAAGGGGGCTTGAAGGCTGAGGGGAAAAAGGAAAGAGAAAATCAGCCAGGATTCCTGCTTCTGATCATTACCAAGTGACTGTTCAAAAGCATGTGCACAGGTTTAATCATGATAACCCAAAAGTCTAAATTGTGCTTACAAATGAAGTATGATCACTTGCACATGGTACCAGATGGCCGTTGTCACCTGTGAAACTATAAACTCAGCACAAACATTCATCAACAGGAAACGTTCCCCGTTTGCTGTGAACTCCTATTATGCAAGATTTGGGGTGATGGCGCAATGATAAGCCACAAGAACTGTATTCTGTGCCTGCTGTAGGCTATTATAATACAGCAGATAGAACAACGTTCCTGTGGCTAGCTCCCCAAACACCAGCCATTGTTTCTACTTTCTACAGTGATCTCTCTATATACTGTACACACAAGAGCAGAATATTCCTAATTGTGACAGTTCAAACTCATTTCATGTACTGTAGTTCTTTTACAGATGTCAGTCTTCATACTTTGTCCTTCCAATTTGACCTATATTCAAACTCATACGAGTTAAAAGGGCTGTGTAGGGCCACTGTACCTCCCCAATAGATGCTGCGTGCAATTAATTGGCTGCCGCATTTCGCACACAAAATATAGTCAATCCACTTTACAGTATATGCTGTGAAGCGTTTTGAGACGTCTCGAAGACGTGATAAGGCGCGATATCAAATGCAAAGATTATTACTATTATTATTACAGAACTTTCTCTCCAAGATCTGGATATCTTGCGAGAACTGATGCAGTAATTTGATTAAATATCTCTAAAGCTAAATACAGTATCAGTGAAGATTGCAACATTAGGAGCCACAAAAGCAGTGCAATCTCCATTCGTGCAATTTAGTTAATCTACAAAATAGTTACCACACTTTACAGTAAATCCTGTCAAGCGCTTCCGAGACATCCTCCTGACCTGAAAAGGCGCCAAAGCAAATAACAATAATAATCCTTGCATTTGATATAGCGCCTCATCACGTCTTCGAGAGACGTCTCAAAGCGCTTGACAGAATATACCGTAAAGTGTGCATCGCCTGTATACTTTGGGGCGAAATGCAAAGATCGTGATTGTGATTATATTGGATAACAAACATGCTACTCGCAATCTAAAGACATTAAGAGGATCCTGAGGAGACCACGGGTGGTTGAAAGTCAAATAAACGGCAAAGGCTTGTGAGAGCAGGACCTGGTGGCGTGTTGAGCAATTATCACAACCATTGCCCCAAGGTAAAAAAAATTAAAATATTCAACTCATATCCATCCCAGTCCCGGCCCAGACCACCCTACCCCAACCCACCCCAGGCCCAGCCCCACCTTACCCCAACCCAGGCCCAGCTTCACCCTACCCCAGGCCGACCCCAGCCCAGGCCCACCCCACCCCAGGCCCACCCTACCCCAGGCACAGCCCCACCACAGGCACAGCCCACCCTACCCCAGGCACAGCCCCACCACAGGCACAGCCCACCTTACCCCACCCAGCCCCACCCTACCCCAAGCCCATTCCCACCCTACCCCAAGCCCATTCCCACCCTACCCCAGGCCCAGCCCCACCCCAGGCCCAGCCCACCTTACCCCAACCCAATCCCACCCTATCCCACCCCAGCCCATTCCCACCCACAACAACAACAACAAGATTCCATTTATAAAGCGCCTTTCACGTCAGGAGGACGTCCCAAGGCGCTGCACAGTTGGGTCATGACCCGAGCAGGGGGGAAATGGTCAGGGGAGGGGAGGGAAGGGAGGGAGCGAGGAGGGGGGAAATGGTCAGAGGAGGGGGGAAATGGTCAGGGGAGGGGAGGGAAGGGAGGGAGCGAGGAGGGGGAAGAGAGTCGAGAGGGTAAGGCCCACCCTACCCCAGGCCCAGCCCCACCACAGGCACAGCCCACCTTACCCCAACCCAACCCACCCCAACCCGGCCCCACCCTATCCCACCCCAGGCCCACCCTCCGCCCTACCCCAGGCCCAGCCCTATCCTACCCCAGGCCACAGCCGAACTACTGTAGTTGAACCTGTGCTGGACCCCCTCCGTGTGCAGAGTGGCAGCACCAGAGGTGCCCTCAGCTTCACTGTGTGGCTGAGGTGCGAGTGTCCCGTTGGGTCACAAGTCGACGGTGAACCCGGAATTAAAAAAGATAAAAAGCCGATTATAACCGCCGAGTGTGGAGCACCGGGAGCGCCGCCAGTCACACGGTGGGGCTCAGCATCATCATCATCAGCAGCAGCATCAGCGTCGTGCGTGTGTGTGTCTGTGGGGGTGCGATCGCCTGAAGTGACTGCAGAGCGCGCGGTGCGGTGCGGCCCGGCCCGCGGCCCACGGCCGCCCTCAGGCCGACGGAACGCGGTGGGTCCGGGCGCCTCACCTTGAAACTCCATGAGGGAGGCCGATCCTCCCTGCTGCTGCCGCCTCTCTCTCTCCCGCTCCCGCGCTGATGGCTGGAGCCCGGGACCCGCTTCAAACTAATTTCAAAAATGGCGGAAAAAAAACTCCGCCCTCTCTCCCCTCCACCTCCGGCGGTGAAGGCGACGGGCGTTGCATGCTGGGAACAACGTCATCACCTGGCGACGCTCTGTCCCTCTTTCCCACTCCCCCTCTCCTCCTCTCACTCTGTCTCCCTCACTCTCTCACTGTCTCTCCTCCTCTCACTCTGTCTCTCTCACTCTCTCACTGTCTCTCCTCCTCTCACTCTGTCACTCTCTCCTCTCACTCTGTCTCCCTCACTCTCTCCTCTCTCACTATCTCTCCTATCACTCTATCTCCCTCACTCTCTCACTATCTCTCCTCCTCTCACTCTGTCTCTCTCACTCTCTCTCCTCCTCTCACTCTGTCACCCTCACTCTCTCCTCTCTCACTGTCTCTCCTCCTCTCACTCTGTCTCCCTCACTATCTCTCCTCCTCTCACTCTGTCTCCCTCACTATCTCTCCTCCTCTCACTCTGTCACCCTCACTCTCTCCTCTCTCCTCCTCTCACTGTCTCCCTCACTCTCTCACTATCTCTCCTCTCACTCTGTCTCCCTCACTCTCTCTCCTCTCACTCTGACTCCCTCACTCCTCTCACTATCTCTCCTCCTCTCACTCTGTCACCTTCACTCTCTCTTTCTCTCTCTGTCACCCTCACTCTCTCTCTCCTCTCACTCTGACTCCCTCACTCCTCTCTCACTATCTCTCCTCCTCTCACTCTGTCACCCTCACTCTCTCCTCTCACTCTGTCACCCTCACTCTCTCACTCTCCTCCTCTCACTCTGACTCCCTCACTCCTCTCACTATCTCTCCTCTCACTCTGTCTCCCTCACTCTCTCCTCCATCTCGCCACCTCTCTCATTCTATCTTTCCTCCTCTCTCACTTTATCTCCCTCACTCCCTCCTCCTGTCTCACCCCCTTCCTCTCTCTTTCTTTCCCTTCCTCCTCCACTGTTTCTTCCTCCTCTTTACCCTCTCTTCTCTCTGTCTCTCACTGTATTTTGCTCCGGGCCATTCTTTTTCCTAATAGTCCGGAAGCTACTGCCCACTGCATTTATTAATGCGGCGTTTCTTTGTTTGTTCTCAAATGCAATATATTTATAGATGCACATTAAGGAAAGTGCTCATTTCTCCCACTTAATGATCTAAAACCACAAGATTTGTTTGGATGAAGAGGGCCTTCAGCTCATTTGATCTCATCCTCCGAGAACATCCATTCCTGCTGTCTTCCCATTCTGGGACGTTACCCTGCGAGAGGGGTGCTATAAAATGCAAGTTGTTGTGGTTGTTTCCCTCATAGCATCAAGCAGTTTATTTTTCAAACGAGTCCAGTGTCCAGGACTCAACCACGTTTGCTGGCAACCTGTACTGATTATTAATTACGCTCTGGGTAACACTGAACCCGAGTCCTCATTTTCCACTGTCTCAGTGCATACTAAAGCATTGTTCTGGATTAACATTTTCAATCCCATTTAAATTTGTGTTTAAGATACTTTACCTCTATAAGGTCCCCTCCAAGACATCTCCTTCAAGGTTGAAGAGCACCAACTTGTCTAATTGTTTGTTGCTCGCAGTTCATTCCTCTACCATTAGAGATTATAACACATAAGATTTTGTATATTTGTTGAATAAATTAGAAATACCTTGTGGTTTTTCCTGTATGAGAAATGACAAGTATTATAAATGACATTTATGAGTGTTAAGGATAACTGAGTGAGGTGTAAGAGATACGTTTTCAGGCTGTTGTACACCAAAGTTTATCAATCTATTGACAAACTTGGTGACCCTCTAACTTGGATATTTTCTGTTGAATTGGTTAACAACCTCCACCAGTACTTACTTTACTCATTTAGCCTATCAAATATTAAGTGACTAATTGTTTTACATAACATTGACCAGGCAGTCAAGATCAAGCTCCAAATGTCATCTTGATCCTTTTGTCTAACATATGTAACCAGAGAATTTTGTACCACTTTTACTGTAATGCTGCCTTTAACTTCTCAGGTTTCCTTTACAAGTAAGGCCGAAACTGTAATCCCTCCTCATACATGGTGCGGGAGGATTTGTTTTATGTTGCAAAGCTTGCATTATTTATGATGTCAGTCTTGTAACACGTGCTGTGATTCACCCATGGTATATAATATACAGTTATGCTGTTGAACATTTAAACTGCACGTCAGCTGGTATGACAGCAGTCTTTATGATGTAAGTATTGTGTGATGTGAACCACCAGATGCACTGTAATTGGTCTTTCGATTACAAAAGATTCTATCCAATTTGACGGTACTACAGCAAACATTACGCACATTACTCAGGTTCCTTAGATGAAGGAAACTTATGTATATTGGTAACTGTACATTGTGATAATTCTGAAACAAATAATTTTAAGTTTGTGCTTATTTCTGAGAAATTAAGATATATAATGTCATAGCAAACATTTTAGAATAAATAATACTTACATTTGATATAGCATCTTTTACATGAGGAGGACATTTGAAAGCACTTAACAGAATATACTGTAAATAATCTATTTTGTAGTTGAATGTGACACTCAAATTGCACGCAGCAATATCCGACAAACAGCTAAGAAGTGAATGACCAATTTTATTTCGGGGATTGTTAGGCAGGATACTGAGAGAAACTCCCTTCCCTTTTCCAGTCGTGCCATAGGATCTTTAACGTCCACCTGAACAGACAGACAGACGGGACCTCAATTTACCGTCCCATCTGAAGGACAGATTGCACATCAGGGAAGAATTTAACAGATTTACAATAGACATATTTCTGAAAAATAAAGTAAATCATGCAACACACACGCAGATCATGACAAACCACAGTATACATACAAATATCAAACCTAACTACTATCCAAAGGACAAAAGATTTAAATGGAATTTTGTGGAAATAAATAGCATCCAGACATCCATTGAAAATTCATATTATCTTGGTGACTTGTTTTACTTAAATACTTACAATATCACTAAAGAAGCATGAAAAAAAATGGTAAAATTCAATTAGGTCAGCACCATGTCGCAATCCGAAAATTACATTTTTTAAATTCAGTTCTGTATGCTTTATTTTATTTGTTTGGCTGGTACTTCCTTAGTTGTTCATTAAAGCCAGCATTAGGATTGCTAGCTGGTCTTGCATTCTTCACCAATGAGAAAGCATCTTCAAAGCTTAGTCCAGCTACTTTCATAAGGTATCCTATAACTATAGATGCAGAACGTGAGACTCCAGCATTGCAGTGAACTAGCACCACTCCATCCTTAAAGAAAGAAATTAAAAACAATTATTAAAAAACATTTCTTTTTCAACAAATAGAAACTTAAAGCCAGGCTCATTTCAATTGCATTAGGACTGGCAAAACATTTTACAGTGCAACATTGCCATTTTTCAAATAGGATTAATAGCCAGAAGTTAACATTTTAAAATTATATCCCAAGAATCTGAATGGCACCTAATTCCACAGTGCAAAGTTCAAGTAAATGAAAATAATAATTGCACATCCTTACATTTGTATCTTTTTGTGCAATACAACAAAGCTATGATATATGCCACTATCAGCCATTTACTGTCATAATAATTAGCTACTTAATAAGCGGTTGCAAATGGATTTTCATTTTCAATAACATTGTGAAGATAGGCAGAATTGCTGGCTTGATATTGGGTTGTTATTGTTAAAGGACTGTTAGGGTCAGCTATCTTTCATCGCCATGCTGGCCTCATTGGAGATTGAGCATAGTATTAATTTCCAAATGAAGATGAAGGTTTCTTAACTGCTTCAGTTGATTGAACTTATTAGTAACAGTTTCACATTGCACGTAATGATATCTGAAGTCTGATAAAGACACTATAAAAAACACAATGGTTATTAGTGGAATAGCTTTTCACACTATCTTCAGTAATGAATAATGAAAAACAGTTGTTCTTATGTGTGTGGAGTCAATTTCCTTCTGAGTATATTCCTTTGTAACCGAAAAACAGAAGGAAATGTGGCTAAGTGGAAAAAATAATTAATTATTCAATGTGTGCACCTAAACAGTTTACAATATTCTATTTGGATATTATTACTAAGTCAACCATTTATATTCAATCAACATGTTCATAATTTCTTGCCCTATCATCTGAAGTGTTCTAAAACAAAATGCTCTCTCCAGAAGATGTACTCACCTTTGTCCTTGCTTGATCAATAAAACTGAAGCATTCTTGGAAGTATGAAGTGATTCTAGTCTCTGGAAGGTCCAGTATGGAAATGCTTTTATAGGTGAAAACATCTGGAAAGGCATTTTCTATTCCATAGCCTACATTCAAAATGTGTGAAATCTTCGGAAGAAAAGCAATTGCAGTAAATTGATGCACAAAACTAAATTTTCTGCATCGAACATCGCTTTCTACATTTGAATTCTATCTGATGCACCAATACTAGCCAAGAAGGTAAGCAAAGTGCCTAGTTTCCAGCCTCTACTTCTGCTGAGATTCTCTCTCTCTCATTTTCTCTTCCTCACACAGAAAAGTACCTACTCTCTAATCTGTTTTAGGTTCCAGTCAGTTGAGTGTGGGATCTCATGGAAAATCCTGGGAGACAACCTGCATTCTACACATCAGTGGCAAGGTACGTTAATGCACAAATAAGACATGTCACTAGGCACCTGACCATGTTGATGTTATATCATTAATAAGACATACTGTGTCACCTTTTTCACACAGTATTTGTAAATAAGGAATCCTTGCATTTGATTCAGTGCCTTTTGTGTCAGCAGAACGTGCATCACAGAAATTACTATAAAGTGTAGTCACCGCATTTTATAGGCTTTCTTTCTCAAGTTAATTATTGTCTCCGTTTTCCCCGGTCTCACCAACTGCATCCAAAATAGCAGACTGATCCCAGCAATTGAATCCGTTCTGAGCTAGGTATCCAGAGATATCCATGAGGAATTCATTGATTAGTCTACAATACTCACCTACTCCTCATCAGTGATTCCCAAAGCAATTCATTGGAAATTAAGAAACTGAAGTGAATAAAATCTCCAATGCAGTATCATAGTGCTGTCACATTATAAGATTATTAAACAAAACATCTGATGGCATTTTTTTTATACCTTAAACTTTTTCAGTGTCTCATAGTCCTGGGCCACGTCTTGTGAAGCTGAAATAATAACAACATTGACATTAGAAATGGTGATAATCTTGAATCATGGAAAGAGAGCAAGGCTGAACAAAAATACATATGGATACATTGTAATGAATTAACCTTGTTAAGGAATAAAAGCATTTAGAAACAACAACAAAATTACATTTGTATAGCACCTTTCGCATCGGGAGGACATCTTAAGGCGCTGGACAGTCAGAGTGTTGGACCCGAGCTGGGGGTCGGGATTGGGGAGGGTGGAGGGAAGGGGGGGGAAGCAGGGGGATCGAAAGCACAGTCGAAGGGGAGGGTCTTGAGATGGTCTTGAAGGAGGCAAGGGAGACGCAAGAAAGATATTTAGAAAGATATTTGAGCTAATTTTATTTACTTAAATGTTTCGGAAATTGGATGGTCTGAACAGTAACTTGGCCTTAAACAAGATAGATGGGAGGACGGGCAGCTTTTTGTCCTGTAATTTTAGGCGCTAAAACTACTTGATACTAATGTGCTGGAATGTTGGATAGAATGTCTATCAACAACACAAGTCTAGAATTACTTTCAGTCGTGAATGGCTTGAAAGTGGATCCAGCTAAACATGGTAAACTTAACCATCACTATTGTGCATACTGATTACACTTCCAAACATAATGTGTTCTGTATTTAAAATAAAAAACAATAAACAAGTCGCATTTGCAAACTGGCATCATATAATTATGGGATATATGTTACCATCAAAAAACGTGTAGTGGTCCATCATACAAGAGTGATAGTGTATTTTCAATGCAGAAATAATGGGGATGATGTCAGATAGTCTGGTTTACCTGTGGTGTCTTAAATAACTGAACTAATGTTTCATATAAAAAGAATAACTACATTTTGATTGATGAGTTGTCAGTTTTCCCAGACCAAATGCGCAAACCATAACAGTCATGGGTCTTTTAAAAAGCCTATTTGTAAATTATTTTCATATCCGAATACAATATTTGTGGATAAAGATTTAGACAAGCAGAAACAAAATCAGTGTCGCAATCCAGCAATTACTTAATATTATTACTACTTACTACTAATCTTTGCATTTGATTTACCACCTTATCACGTCGTTGAAACGTCTCAAAAGCGCTTCGGAGGACATACTGTAAAGCAATGTGACTGTATTTTAAGACAATGCAAGTTTGTATCCCGAAATAGGACTTGAACCCACAACCTTCTGATTCAGAAAGCCAGGGTCTACCAGTGACCCACATTAGTTACAAAATAACTAGTTTACGTCCCCACTTTGGTTATTACAGTGTTGTGGGTTGAACAGATATACACGTTTGAACGGCAGGGCTCAAACCAATCACTGAAATTAGTGGCTCAATTACTGAGCTGTTTCACTTTGCTGGACAAGGCAAGTTAATTGCTGTGTCAGATACTGGAATCATTGCAACCATTAAGTTTGCACACACACACACACACACACACAGATAGTAGCTAAACTACTAACCATAGCTGTGCGTGTGTGTAAAAAAAGTTAAGACTCACTCACAGAGTAAGAGCCAAGGCTTGACAACACCCACTTGCAGATCAAGGCTGGTGTCCTGAACGTATCCACATGCTCCATCAGCTTGATGTGCTTCTTCCACGATCTGCACTCGGGCATCTCTCAGGGTTTCTATCAGTCTTCTCCCGGTCACGGTTGTCACTCTGGTGCTCTGTTTCTTGAGGGAGGTCTTTGAGAAGCTGTGGATTTCTTGGACCAGCGAATGCATCTCCGCCTACATCAGAGTGTTCGAGTTAAGAAGAGGCTGAAGTCCAGAGCAGCTGTGCAAAAGAAGTCGAATGCATTCGCCACAGCGTGCGCCACAACCGAACACCACTGACTCAAGCAGGAGGAGTGAAATGTGCACAACCCCCTGTGGCAATTACCTGATTGCTAACGCTCAGAAGTTCTTGTCACCAGAGGGCAGCGAAGCAATAGCATCATCTCACTGTGCAGTGTCACATTCCTCCCACTACGTGTGACTGCAGCTGAGTCGGAAGTACTGCGACCAAACCAGCGCAAGAGCTCATCAGAGAGCTCACTCCCAAGCGCGTCGCCATCTACACTGTGGGAAGACCACCCTCACAATAGAATCTTAGCCTCCAGAATGGCCATAGAAATGAACGTGCAAAGTCATGTTCGAAACATTTTTTAGCAAACAGTGCATCTTAGGAAAGGTCCAGAAAAAGATGACCTAGGTGTGTGTGATGTCGATTATTATTGGCCTCAGCTGTTCAACATTTGATAAAACCTTCTTGTACACTTGTACAGATCACTAATATTCACGTTGTTAAATACAATGTGCAATTTTGGGCACCCAATTTCAAAGGGACATTGATACATCAAACAGGGTATATACTGTCACTCTGCAGTTGTCACTCTGCAGAAACTCATCTTTCTTTCCACACACAGTGCCAAGACTGCCCCACATGGTGCTTGCTCTTCCCTCTCTTCGCAATGCCTCTCCCTGAAATTAAATCTAAAGTCTCCGACACTCTATCCTGCATGTAGGACTATATTGTTGTCAGAGTGAGGTCAGGGTAGCACAATGTACAGATATGGACATGGATTTAACTTGATATTCATTCACAAAATATACAGTCAATTCACTTTACATTATATCCTGTGAAGTGCTTTGAGACGTCTCAAAGACATGATCAGGCGCCAGATAATATATAATAATATATATATATCAAATGCAAGGATTATTATTATAATAACACTAGCAGACAACCTAGAAATATCTCTCAGGTTTTCACCAATTGTGCTCCACAACTAGGAGGATGGGTATGAGAATGCCCAGGAAAACAATTCCCATTTCAACAGGTAACAAGAAGTGTCCGTAACATTGCCCAACTCCGACACTACCTCACCCCTCAGCCCGCTGAAACTTTTGTTCATGCCTTCATCGCCTCCAGGCTCGACTATGCAAACGCCCTGCTTGTCGGCCTTCCCAACTCCTCCCTCCACAGGCTGCAGATAATCCAGAACGCTGCAGCCCGTGTCCTCTCCCGCACCAAACTCTGTGACCCCATCTCCCCCATTCATGCCTGATTCCAATGGCTCCCTATACTTCAGAGGATCCAGTTCAAGATACTGGTCCTCATTTACAAAGCCCTCCATGGCCTCGTCCCACCCTACCTTTGCGACCTCCTAACATCCTACCAACCCGCCTGCTCCCTCCGCTCAGCCAGCTCTGGCCTGCTCCACGTCCCCCGACCCACCCGCCCCACCATTGGCAGGAGAGCCTTCAGCCACTCTGCCTCCAACCTCCGGAATTCCATCCCCCAATCACTCCGCCTCGCCTCCTTCTTAGCCTCCCTCAAGTCCCACCACAAAACCCTCCTCTTCGTCCATGCCATCGGTCACGCCCCTTTCCCTTCCCTCCCTTCTCCTTCCTACCCCAGCTCGGGTCTGAAATGCTGTACACTGTCCAGCGCCTTCGGACGTCCTTCTGAGGTGAAAGGCGCAATGCAAATGTAATCTTCTTGTTGTTGTTCACGTTCAGCATGCAAGATCCCAATGCCTTTGAACTAAGGAGTTTCAGACCCGAGCTGGGGGTCGGGATTGGAGAGGTTGGAGGGAAGGGAGGGAAGCAGGGTGATCGAAAGCAGCATGGTTGAAAGGGAGGGTCTTGAGATTGGACTTGAAGGAGGCAAACAATTCCCATTTCAACAGGTAACAAGAAGTGTTTATGTTTACCATGCGAGGTCCCAATGCCTTTGAACTAAGGAATCAATCAATCAATCAATCAATCAATCAATCAATCAATCAAGCAATCAATCAGGGCTTTCCCAAGTGGCCTTTTCTGGAAGTGTTTGTGTGGTGGGTATGTATGTTTTAAGTCTGAAAAAACACCTCAACTGATCTCTCCCGCCCCCAGTGAGTAAATATTCACTATGTCAGATCACACAAAATCAATTAATTTAATTTCTTCTATTTTAACCTTTTTAATCGTTTACCCATTTTATAATAATAATAATCCTTGCATTTGATATAGCACCTTATCACGTCTTCAAGGCATCTCAAAGCACCTATATAATTTTCCTTTATAATCTGGAACAATAGATGTCAAATAAAAGAAAAACAAGAGAATGCCTGTAGAATATCTAGAATCACAGCTTAACAATAACAACATAAAATAGGCTGCATCTTCCTGCTGCTGCTGTATTGATTCACTATTTTCATTCTTCCATTTTCTTTGCGTTGATGAGAGATTGATTTTGGTACAATGTGTGTTTCTGATCTATTTCCCCATTGTATCTGAATTATAAACAGACCAATGAAACTGTTAATGCAGAGAGCATTGTAAAATGGACTATAAAAATACACAAACAAGAAATGTTTCCCTCAGATTCATGACATGAACTCTTAACAGATTGCAGAGAAAGGCAAAGAACCAGCAAAACAGTAGCTGTGTTTCCAATAGCAACAGCACTGTTCAGTTATCTAGTACTGTTGTGTTCATCTGCTGCTGCAAATATGAGTATTAAGGACTGTCAAACAGCCATGGTGGATAGTGTAACCTATTAAAGAACATGTGAAAGGGGTTTAAATGGAGAAAAACCAAGTAATGGGTGGAGCATTTGAGTTCTGAAAATCCAGGACATTCCCATTGCCTATAATCAGGCTTAGAACATTTTTTTACTGGTAGCTTTGTCTGCTAACTTCAACATCTCTGATACGTATTTTTATTTGTGGGACAAATACACAAATACAAATAGACCAGTTATATTATTGTTTTCTGACAGAAAGACACATAAGGGATTTGTTGGGTGTTTAATTCTTAGTAATCACCATGCTTAAGAGTATCCAAACCAAGCTGAGATTTCCATGCGTCCCACCTACACATGGAAATCCCAGAGATAGATTGCTGGAATGGAATGCCATAGAAAAAGAAATTGGAGAGAGGGGATATATTAGACCAAGCAAGATGCAGAGATAAGGTAACCAAATAAAAATAATGAAACATCCTAAAGAGGACCTGTAGTGTTGGAAATGTTTTACTCTTGAAATTGGAAACACATAGCAGGTACCAGAAGGGGTGCAAAAGAGGTGCTTAAAAATCTTGTTCCTCTGTGCACCCCAATTTCCTTAAAAGGGTCGGTGGTTAGTCTTCTGGAGGGATGATGTCGGATAAACTGAAAGAGATTCCAAACCAATTTTGGTCACCTTGTGACATGCAATCCTTCCATTTGATAACAACCCTTGCATTTGATACAGCGCCTTATCACATCTTTGAGATGCCTCAACGCGTTTCACAGAATACACTGTAAAGCAAATTGATTGTATATTTTGTGGACGAGCCGCGGCAGCCAATTGCACACCTCAGCGTCCCACAAACAGTCGTAGATCTACTGACCAAATTACAACAACAACAACATTACATTTGTATAGCACCTTTCACGTCGGGAGAACGTCACAAGGCGCTGGACAGTGTACAGCATTTCAGACCCGAGCTGGAGTCAGGGGGGAGAAGGGAGGGGAGGGGAATGGCGGGGGGGGTGGGGGGGTGACCGATGGCACGGTCGAAGAGGAGGTTCTTGAGGCGGGACTTGAAGGAGGCTAAGGAGGGGGGTGGTGGGGGGGGCGGAGTGACTGGGGAATGGAATTCCAGAAGTTGGGGATTATACAATAACCGAACAACAATCCTCGCATTCGATAAGAGAGCGCCTTAACGCATTGTCGAGACGTCTCAAAGCCCTTCCGCAGAACATAGCGTCAAGCGAATTGACTGAATATTTTGTGCCCGCGCGTGCGCGTAGATAATAATAATAATAATAACCCTTGCATTGGATATAGCGTCTTCCCGACGTCTCAAAAGCGCTCGGCAGGATTAGGCGGTAACGTGAATTGACCGTATATTTGTGGGCGAAATAGACACACATACGTAAAAATAATAAATCACGATGACTGGCACGTGAAAGGGATTATTTCACAGTCCGGCGTGTGTGCAAGACGGACTTTGCTCTCTCCCCCCACCCACCCAACCCAACCCCCACCCCACCCAACCCCCACCCCCCACCCCTCAAAGAAGCAGATGCAGCCAACGGGCTGTGGGGGGCGCTGCTGAGTACTATTTTCTCCTCAGTCTCCCCCCCCCCCCCCCCGCCCCACGAGAGGTCACGTGAGCGGGAGGGCGGGGCGGAGAGGCTGCGGCGGCGGCGGCGGCGGCAGGAAACGAAGCCTCGTTGTGGGTGCGGTCACCCACCAGCTCGAGCCCGAGTGAGAGAGGGAGGGAGGGAGGGAGTGAGTGAGAGAGTGACGGACGGAGGGTGGGGGAGAGGATTGACTCACCTCCGTAAACACCCCCCCCCACCACCACCACCACAGCCCGACCCGACCCTCCCCTGGTCCGGCCCTTTTGAGAGTGGAAACGGTTTGAGAGTGGGAGTGAGAGAGAGGGAGGGAGGGAGGGAGTGAGTGAGAGGGAGGGAGAGGAGAGTGAGGGACGCCGCCCGCCCGCCCGCCATCCAGCCCGGCGTCATGTCCAGGGCGGTGATGTCGAGCCAACAGAAGATCGCCGAGAAGCTGACAATCCTGAACGACCGCGGGGTTGGTATGCTCACCCGCATTTATAACATCAAAAAGGTAAGGACTCTCCCTCCCTCCCTCCCCCCCCTCACTCACCTTCTCTCCCTCCCCCTCACTCACTCCCTCCCCCCCCCTCCCCCCCCCCCCCCCCCAACACCCGCACACACAGGCCTCAGGGTTTATCACTGCCCCCCTCTCCCTCCCTCCTTCCCCGCCCTTCATTTTCCAACCTCCCAATATGTCCGGCCTAGTGCAGCCCCGAGCCACGGCTCAGGCCCGTCTGACACTCCGCTCAACGTGCATTTTGCTTGGACTTTCCCCCTCCCCTCACCCCCTCACCCCCCAATCCAGGGCCGTGTTTGTGTCCTGTGCCCCACTTGTGCTCTCTCTCTCTCTCTCTCTGTCTGTCTGTCTCTTTCTCACGACTGGAGAGCGAGAGAGAGAGGGAGAGGGAGGGAGGGGGTGGGGGATGGTTTGTCAGTGTGTGTGGGTGGGTGTGTGTTTTTTACACAGGATATCCCTTGGCTTTGCGAGTCAGTTGCTCACGACATTTATCTCTGAAGCAAACGCCTGCCTCAGTGTCATTGTGTTTCCCTCTCTCTCTCTCTCTCTCTTCCCCCCCAACCTCCTCCCCATCATCACATTGTAGAGTGTGATGTGCTAAGAGTGTAGCCCCCCACCCACCCAAAAAAAGTCCCCCCCCTCCCCCACCTTGTCCCCCCCCCCCCCCCCCCCTCCCCCCCCTTGCCCCCCCTCCCCCACCTTGTCCCCCCCCTCCCCCACCTTGTCCCCCCCTCCCCCACCTTGTCCCCCCCCCCCCCTCCCCCACCTTGTCCCCCCCCCCCCCCCCCCCCCCTTGTCCCCCCCTCCCCACCTTGTCCCCCCCCCCCCCCCCCCCCACCTTGTCCCCCCCCCCCCCCCCCCCCCCCCCCCTCCCCCACCTTGTCCCCCCCTCCCCCACCTTGTCCCCCCCCACCTTGTCGTCCCCCCCTTGTCCCCCCTCCCCCGCCTTGCCCCCCCTCCCCCACCTTGTCCCCCCTCCCCCACCTGTCCCCCCCCCCCCACCTTGTCCCCCCCCCACCTTGTCCCCCCCACCTTGTCCCTCCCCCACCTTGTCCCCCCCCCCCCCACCTTGTCCCCAAATGCCATATAACATCCCCAGCCCTTATTTTGGTCCGATTGGAGCAGCACATCAAAGGGAAATGTTTACAGCTATAACAATTCAGTATATTTTTTTGTCTTGCCAGCTTTGATGAACCCGATGCTCATGGGTTGCTGTGTTTGTATTGTGTGTGTGTGTGTGTGGTTTTTTTTCCCCCCTTCGAAAGGAAATTGAGGTGAATTTCCTCCTCGGGTTGTGCTGCATTCTGTTTTTAAACAACCTTTTACAAAGATGTACTTGTTTTAATCGTTGATGGTTCCGGTTTTATCCTTGAATTGCGTTGCAAATCTGGTCAGATGAAAAGCCTTATCGTTGAATCTTGTTGAAACCCAAGTGGTATTTTTGGCCGGATATGTGTGATTTCTGTTTGCGGTTGATAGAGGAAGTATTACAGATTTGCTTGAATACTTAAGAATGTAGCATTGACACTGCTTTGTGTGTAAAAAAATGCAAAATGGTGATGCAAAACCAACTCATTAGAGTAAGATTAATATTTATCCAGTAACAGTAGAAATATTACTGACCTCCTAGATGTGTGAACACATACTGACACTATCAGACAGGCACTGCTTGCACAAAGTTATTCTGTGCAGGCACTTTGAAAATTAATCAAATCAACCCAATCAATTTATGCATTTAATTTGAAACTACTTTCATAATCCCAATTATCCAAGGATTATTGACTTGCCAGTTATATCTAGTAGTTATAGCTTGACGTTTAAGAGCATATTTAATAACAAACTAACCAAATATTTTACTGTACATTAGAACATTCTTTTCATTTACTTATCATATTTTAGATACAGTGGATAGATCTAAGATGTATGATTAAATTGGAAGTTGCATTGGAGTTGTAGCCAAACTTTTTTTTTCAGGCAATGAAGAAGGAAGTTTATATTTTTGCAAGAAAATTGTTAATTATTAATCATACAGCACTCAATAAATGTATAGTTAATTTGATTGTAAACTTTCCAGGCATTCTTCACCACTTTTATTATACAGAGCTCTTAATCAAACCACAACATTTCTTAGTTAAAACAATTATTTAATAATTTATGAGGCTTCAGCGGTAGTAATTTCAAATTGTATTTTTGCAATGAGGATATTAGATTTGAATAAAATGCTGAATGCTCTTATAGTATAATATAATTATTTGAAGATATCCATGTAAATTCCATTTAGTTGTGCTGCTGGAAACTTCATGCCCAATATTACAGTATGTCAGACTATACTTGCAGAAGTATAGCCATTTTGACATTTGACCTTTAAATAAGAAAACTCTTCTCAACTCAGATAATGACATGATACTTAGTTTACACAATTGGTGATTTTCAGTCAGGTCCAATAGTGTCTAGTTCTCATTTTTACATTTGGTCAGATCATATTTGTATGAATGTATCATTTCCCTCCAGGACTTGACAAACAGTGTAAATGTTATCAGGCAAAATGTAATTTTGTTCTTTTAAAAAGAAATTGTTTTGAACATTCTTTGAATTCACCAGCTCTTTGCCAGATTAGGATCCTTTCTGTAGAGTACACTATTGTGTTTGGTCTAGCGATGTAACAAAGCGAAGGGTAGTAATTGGTGACGCGTGTTCAAAAAGTGATGACTCTTGTTGACAAATTTCAATTGCTTTTACGATCTATACATGCTTAATTTCCAATTTTATAGTTCTAGAACAAAACTAGTTTCATTGCAGGATTTGTGTTAAAATGCCAAATATCTGACAAGGAATTCTACACAATAAAAACATATATTTTAGTATCAGTGGTGCTCCATTACTCTGGTTGTTAACATTTAAATACTAAATTGAATAGATTGTTGAAGAATTTCTGATGAAATATTGTACCATAGTGTTTTCTAAAATAGAATTTTTTTTCCATAATTAAACTGTAATGGTGAGTACTATTGATTTTTATAAGAATATTTCAATTTGAGTAAAAAGCAGCTTTAAGTTTCTCCATTTAGCATTGCAATGAAAGTTGGATACAGAATATCAAGCTCCATGTCATTCTTGGGATAATATCTGTAACTCGTCACCACCTGATTGTTCCTGCTCGTCTTGTTTTGAATGGTTTTAGTGTAAAATATTAACAATCCTGGTTCCAAGTGTAGTGGAACCAAATTTTCATGTAAGCATTTGCATGCAATATTTTTTTATAAAAAGGAAAAAAAGGTTCTGGTGGTATCAATGCTGCTTTGTTTGGCTTGGCTTCCAGCACCCCTACTGCTCATTGATTACAATTTGAGGGGTGATGTGATGGGATCGGGTGAGACATGGAGTCGATACTTGACCCTCATTGGAAGGCTAGCTGCCCTGTGTTACTGTAATTAGTTTTAATTTTGTGGGGATGTATTTTGATCATTGGAACATGGAACTTTGCCACAAGTAGCTATTTGAATCTAAGATCATAACATTCAAATTAAATTGGATAAATATTGGAAGAAAATAATATAAATGGGTACGGAGAAAGAGCAAGGAATTAGGATTGCAATGCTATAGCTCTGATAGTGGAACTAGCTTCATTATATATTTGGTGAGCTGAGTTGCCTTCTGTGATGTAATTTCTTTGGTTCTATTTTCATACAAATGCTTGAGGATAGAGCATTTAAGGCTGGAATGGGGAAATATTTCTGAAATTTGAGACATACATTGATGTTTAGTGTACAGAATACTGTATTTAAACTTTTTCCTGAGTAGTGGTGCTAATCGATGTTCCATTGTGGGTTTTGATGATGCTTACTTTTTAATGTAAATTACATTCACATATTGTCCATATTTTTCAATGTGACTCTTATGATCAGGAAATTTGGTAATAGCAACAAGATTTGAATTTTTGCATTGGAAATGACTAACTTGTGGAGTGTTTGGACTCTGCCTTTTCCTTTCCTTAATAATTGGAATTTAAAACTATTTTTCTCTTCTGCGTATTACCATAATAGAATATTGACCTTTAGTATTCAACATCTTCCTTCTCTCAGTGGAATACAGACATTATGCAATACCAGCATTTGGATCTTGATACAGAACAAGCCTTTGTTGCCAATTTAATTTGAGCCAGAGATAGATTTTTTCATTGTTATATGGATATCTAGTAACCAACTAACCAGAAGATATTTCACCTTTGTGTAACGGGTAGCTCTACAAGTCAAGGTTTTATAATCAAACAGCTGTCATTGTGAAGTAGACTGATCGCTATTGTTCCACTTCATATGCGAGATAGGGTACTAGAGAATTGAGGATAGAATAAGTAACATTGAATATTTTGATTTTGAGATTCCAGAAGATGTTGCTCTTTGACCATGTAACTAGAAGCAAGAAAACTAGCAAGGTCATTCCAACTCTGAAGTATCACATTACTGACAGGGATAATGTTCTCGCTAAGGTATTTGGAATTCTCCTACAGGGGGTGTTTTATTTTACTCAGTTGGGTTACTGTGTGAAGGTGGAAAGATTAGGCAAGAATGGTGTTTTTTTTCACATCATTGAAGTGTGTTTCCTGCCAGTTAGACTAAGAAGTATCCAATTGATGGTATGTGCAGATTGAATTGCCACATTTTAGGCTATGAGGAGCTAATCAATGTTTATGGAATAAGATCAATTTCAGTGAATCAGTGATTGTCTGATTCTCTTTAGGAATAGAAATCCTAATTGTTTTATTTTACCCTATCTTGAACTAGTAATGATATGTTTATTAATATATGCTGATGCAGAGGTCATATATGTTAGTTTTTTTTAGACTTTGTGTTGTAATTGTATTAACGACATGTTGAAGTTATTTGACAGTTTCGCATTTTGTGTTTGTGTCTAATGTTTAGATCCAGAAGTACAATGCAAGTTAAAAAAAAGTTTGTGTTAATATGTATTTCAATTGAAGGACATTGTGATGCTTGGTTATATTATGTTGATCTAAAAAGTTGTTTTCCATTTAAATGTGTATGAAGTATGCTATTCTTGCATTGGATTTATTTTAAAATTCTGCAGGTTTGGAAAAGGCCTGTTATTCATGGTCCGCTGTTACTTTAGCAATTATTTTGGGTCAGTTGCGTGTCTTTATACTCATCAGCATACTGAAGAATATCTAAACCAGCCTGAGGGATCCACTTATTTCATTCCAGCCTGTTTCTGGAATTGAATGAACACACTCCCTAAGGGATGCATCTAATTCCTGAGAGCACAAGGTGCAAGTTGGCAAGGACCAGGCTTGGGAACCGCAGTGTATGCGTTTGGGTACTGCTGGAGTTCAACCAGCTAAGACTGTGCAAGTTGCCAATGATAGCACTATCTGGAAAGCTTCCCATCACTCGTCCATCTAGGACCACCCTATCTATTAGGGCTTTGTGGTTCATGATTAACAGGAGCTGATTGGGAATAATCCAGGCTACCAGTGGTTGGTCTGTCATCGGCAGTCCTCTGGAATACTGTAGGAAGTCTACAACAAACATCATTCCAAAAAAGATTACATTTTTATTTTCACACTGGAAGTTCAATGTATTTGTGCTTAAGTATCATGTTATTGGTCACTTAATAGACTGTTTAAATTGACTTGTTTGCATCTTCTTCCTGTCCAAATGAAGGTGATCGATTACCCCAGATCTTCTGCATGCTGTCTCGTAGATTGCTTTGCATGTAATTTGCCTGTCTTCTGACTAGTTACCAGTGTTTCTATTGTGCTCATTAGTATATGATATCAACTTAGTGATTAGTGTAAGAACTTTATAAATTTGATTATCACAAGAGGACGTATTAGAGTATTCCATGGATTTTTTCTTTCCAGTTGTACATGTATAGAAGGCGGTCTGATCTCCAGTAGAGATTTTTAATTTCACGTGAATCTTTGCCCTTTTACCCATTATGTATATTAGGCATTTAATCAATCGGATAACCCCAAAGCTTTATGTAGAAGCATGCCAGATGTTGGAAACTTGTGTTTACATGTGTTTTCTCTTTCTGTTACAATGCTTCCACAGCAAGGACAAGTTTGGAAGGTTTGCAAAGCTTTTCACCTTCCTTCTGCTATCAGACCAGTCTCATCACCCATAACCTTTCTTTGTAATTCACAATATGTAGAAAATGATAAAAGGCAAAGTCACTAAATTAGCTTTTTTTAAGATGAACTTAATTTAGGAATAAGTTGTATCCAACTTTCTATGAATTGTGGTTCCTCATAGAAAGCGACTTCTGAGTTTATAAATTCCTATAAGAGTTTCCCTGAAAAAAAGATTCTCAAAGTCTTAGTTTAGATTGAATGAAAATAACCAAGCAGAGCTCTTCGTAGAAATTTAGAGATTCCTTAAAAAAGAGTTTGATCAATGAAAGGAAAAGAATTCTATCGCTATTTAAGTGTAGAAGTGTAAACCTGAAGGCTAAAATTTGCACTGCTTCAAAATGTTTCTTCTATTTACTCATCCAGGATGATCTGAGCACATAATGCATACCTAGAGCACCACAACAACGATGCTGCTGATAACTTCTTGAAGTTTGCAACCAACTAGCTTTGAATAACCTTTTAGTCCCTACCTCAATATATTTTAGACTCAAATACAAACCTCTTCCTCCCTTTAGGACTGAATCCCTTCACTCTGTGCTGTTGCTTCAAGCTCTGTACAATCCCTATGCAGTACTTTTGTAGCACATCTTGCTTTCTATCTCCCATTACATCCTTGAGTTGTGATGATTCCTTGCACTTATCTCCTCATTTGTTCACCTATTCACTGAAACCGGTAGTAAACTTTCCTCAGTAACTGGTTATGCCTGCTGAAAATGTTAGTTATAACTGCTGTATATTAATTAAACAACTTTCCAAGGCTTTGTAACTTTTTTTTCTCTTTGATTCAGGCATGTGGGATCCAAAGGCAAAGCCATCCTACCTAATTGACAAGAACCTGGAATCTGCTGTCAAGTACATTGTCAAAAAGTTTCCAGTTGTTGATACTCGTAACAACAGTGTAAGTACCGAATGGCAATGAACAATCAAGTTTGTGAAATTATGAAATGTATTTTAATTGTGAATTTTTGAAATGATGACGTGTGAATGAACAAACTTGAAAAATGTACCTAAGTATCTAGCACAATCATTTACATCCTTTTAGATTTTTTTTAAATGGTGAACTCACTTAAAAACCGCTTGATGCTGTGATGGAAAGATAGCAGGGTGAGCATTCTGGAAGGATTGGCAAAGGGCCTTCGTCATTCAAACCAATGTTGTGATCTTGTATAATTCCGAAACTTTCAATTTTGCAACTATTTTCAAATTTAGTTTTGACGTTGTTGATAGATAACCGACTTATGGTGAATTGAATTCTATTGCATGATTAAAGATAGGATTAAACTTCCGATTTCTGTTTAACTTCAACAAAATGACATTAGTTAGAATAATGCCGTGTTCTTCTCCAGCACACGAGAAGTTTATACATTCTGGTTTATGTCCTCGATTCTTTCTGCCTTTGATCTTGCCAATCACTTCATCAATGGTTCAACTGTGAATGTAATGAGAGGATCCTAGCTACTGATAGGCAGTCAAGTGGTTTTATCAGCTTCGCTCTTGCAAACCTCTAGCTGATGATGATTGCCATTGTTCCAGATGACTTTTTGATCCTATTTAACTTGGACACTGAGCCCCACAGGAAGCAGCTCTGCTTACGGCAGCAATCTACTGATACCAATATTATGCAAAAGGAAGAGCAAGGCATTAGCTGAAGATCCCGCAGCTTATTCCTTAAATGTCACCCGCCCCTTCTTTACACCCCCCCCCCCCAATAACATAAAAACAACTGGCAGTTATACAGCACCCGTAATGCAGGGTAGAATCTTGGAATGCTGCATATTGGAGACTAGAATTATAGAAATTTACACCACAGAGGAGGTCATTCAGCCCATCAAATCTGCACCAACTCTGAGCAAGGTCTTCATTCAATCCTTCTGCTCTGCCTTATCCAAATACTCCTTCAAACATCTATCCTTCATATAATTATCTATTTCTCTCTTGAATCTCCCAATGGATTTGTTTTTACCACCTTACATAGCAGGGCATTCCACATCCCCAAAACTTTGAGGAATAATAATGTCGCCTAAACTTTCCTTTTGGGCTAAACAAAATGCAAAATACTGCAGATGCTGGAAATCTGAAACAAAAACAGAAGTCACTGGGAACACTCAGCAGGTCGGGCAGTTCTGACGAAGGGTTGTGGCCCTGAAAAGTTGATTCACTTTCCTTTCTCCATAGATGCTGCCTGACCTGCTGAGTGTTCCCAGAGATTTCTGTTTTTGTTTCTCCTTTTGGGCTCCCTGTGACTATCTTGTAACGATGATGCCTAGTTACTGCTGTTTTTTTTAAAAAAAACAATTCGGTTTGATTAAAAGATGCAAATATATGAGAGGTTGTAAATGATGTTTCTGTAGCATCTGCAACTTGCCAGATGTTCACTGTAGAGGTGAAGGGTAAGCAATATTCAAAAATTACAATGAGAGTAGTAGAGGGAGCGTGTTGGGACTGGAATACCTTTGGGTGTGAAGTTCTATTGTTCTGGATCTGTTATCCCTTTTATCTCCTGAAGACAACTCCCTTCTTTCCAGTCTGACCTGTTATTACAAGTGAAAGATAATTTGGTTGTATCGAGTGACTCTGTCACACCCAATTTATCCCAATCAGGAAGACCCACTCATTTCTCACATAAGATGTCCTGTGGCATCATCTGGATGAAATTACCAATTAGTGCAAATTTAATGCCAGTTTTTGGAGCCCTCGAGCAGATTCAAAGAGCACATAATTATTTTACATGGGGCCCCTTAGATTTATCTGGCATAGAAGAGTTTCATCTATAAATTCAAATTCCACAGACAACGGGCCAGGGTGCTAATTTATTTTGAAACGGATCCTGTATTTCCCTCCAGGGTGTAATCTTGTGTTTCTATCTTGGGGTTCAGCTAACAGGACTACTGATTAAACACTGATAAACCCTGATTAAATATCTGATATTTGAAAAAGAAATCATTATTCAATAAACCAGAAAAACACCAGAAATTCCTGTTCTGATTTAACTCTGAGGTGAGATTTTAAGATAATAATATGGTCACTCAATCCATGAATGTTTGTGGGACACTACTGTGTGCAATTGCCTACCGCGTTTCGCCCACAAAACATGGTCAATTCACATCAGTATATTCTGTGAGGCGTTTGAGACGTCTCAAAGAAGTGATCCAGCGCTATATCAAATGCAATTATTATTAGTGCTGATATTCTAATTTTGTGGCTTCCAGAGTGTACAAAAGAATTTGGGTGTGGAGCCCATAACAAAAGGAATCAATGATTTAGATATCTCATTCTCTGGCACAGCGTGTTAACCATTAATGTCTGATGTCACTGGGGTCCGATTTAATTCTCAAATATATTGTCAAGCAAAAAAAAAAAAGAATTCTGCCGACTCTATTGCTGCATTCTAGGCCCGCTGAACTGCTGACACAATAATATTCTGGAACAACCTTCTCACCAAAGAAATGTAACTTAACTTCTCTCTTCTAAATGTTCTCTTACTGCTTTCTAATACCTTAAGTTGTCTGGAAAATAGAACTGATTAAATCAATAGATTGGAACAGAGACCAAATCTAGACTTGTTTTGGTGACAATGAGTTCTGTTTTAATAGGCCTTTAATGCTGTGCTTTAAAACCTACTTGAGCCACTGGCGCCTTCCTACCAAATTACATAATGAGCACGTACAGAAAAAATTCATTTGGACCGCATGTAACTCCGTTTGATTTTTAAAGGATACGGAGCTGGGAGCAAGAACTCAGAGAGGGAGATTCTATATGTACCACCACCATTCTTTACTGCATGCTGCTTTTCCTGTGCTGCTTGATTCTAATAACTTGCACATTTGCAGAATTCTGCAGTAAAGTTGTTTTAGCAGTCAAATCATTCATGTTGATCCGAGTTAATTAGACATCTGTTTAATAGAGACATTCGTTTTATCGAAAAAAACAATGAATTCTCTTTAAATGCATTTGAACCAGTACGATTTGCACATCGAATCAAGTGGGATTGGTGTTTCCAATAAATAGGTTTCAACTCCAGATGAAAAATACAACATACCGTACAATGCATAAATAACTTCTGTGTGTGGGTGTGTTTGGATAGTTTTTAATGCACCATGGAATGAAGCAATCAGACAAAGTTAGGGTCACCATTCAGTGAATTCCAGCAGCAGGAAGTTATTTTTGCTTAGAACTACACTTTTTCCTTTTGGCTCTTGATAGATAAACAGGCAGGATTGACATTGCATCCTTTAGTTTTTAACAGAAGTTTCAGGGATCAGAAATGTATATTGCTGCTAAAGTAATTGTATTGGTACTGTCTCAGTGAAAGCACTTCGAGATATCCTACATGAAAAGTTCTGTGCAAATTGCATGTGGTCGTGTAGTAAATATTTTTAAATGCATCATTTTCTGTTGAAAAACTTCAGTCTCTATTATACATATTTACTTCAAACATCTTTTTTTACTGTATTTGAAATCTTGTTCAACATAGGAATGTCACTTTGTTACCACTTCTATCAGAAAAAAAGATCTTAAGTGTAACATTCCAGTGGAGCTTGTCAAAGTTGTTTCACGATAGGGATTTCACAATTTATGTTGAACGTGCTTTGTAGCTTCAGGGGAAGAGTGTTTTTTTGGGGAAAATGGAATTATAGCATTTTGGTGGATTGCACACATTGCAACTCATTCAGACCTTATGAGTACCTCACATTAAAATAAACTTACCAAGTAGCAAACAACTGCTATATTGGACAACCTGCGTGCAGTAACGTTTGTAAGTGCAAATCTCAAACCATTTCACAGTTGCTATGGCAAAAGAAACTTTCAAAACTCACGTTTGTGGATTTTCTGTATTGACACATACACGTATGAAGGTGCACATTGAACAGAAAGAATAGCTGTGAATTAATTGATCTTTTACTAAGAAGGCACTGTTATGCTAGCTGTGGTTGATGCATTGATATTTAAACACATTTTGTGGCAGCATTTGTAAGTTCCTTCTTGGGTTCTCATTTTAAATGGAAATTCAACCATTTCTACTTGGGGCCCAGCTGTGAATTAGCCATAGATGAAAGGGAACACAAGCTAATGAGGCACACTTAAGTGCAATCCTAGATTTTCTTCCCCTCCGATAAAAGTCTGCCATTCCAGTGGCATACTGGAGCCCAAGACCTACTTAGATACCAATCTGGAGATGCCTGAATTGAAGGATGTTATTTCTAACATCGAACCTGTTCCATTTCAATATTGGTTTCCTTTCAGTACAGTAAATGCATACATATATGATCCAAATAACTTTAAAAGCTGCATCTTAGTAAGTGGTTGTCGTTTTTTTACATAATCTGGTTAATCTATTCCTGTCTTTACAATTGTCAATCCTTTATTCTGTTTTCCTTTAATGAGTTAATTGATTTAATAACTTTTTTATGGCTTTCTATTTGTCTTTTCTGTAACTCAGGGTGGATTTCTCAATGCCGGAGGCTTGTAATATTATTCTTGTACCTGCTCATCCGGTTATCAATTTGTGCTTTTTTTGTTTTTTTTTATAAAGTCTTGCATTTGTATTTTCCATGTGCCTCAGCATTTTTAAAACCTGGATCACAGCGCTTCTCAATCTTTGTCTCATGAAAGCAAATTTAAGCTTGGCTTATTTAATTTTGTTGGGCTCTGCTAAATTATAGCAAACAAAAGCTTTAAAATTGTCATTTTACATCGTGTCTTTCGATTTTTTTGCATGCTTAACTTGACTTTGCGTGGATAATATGTTGGTAAGTGTGAATTCTCTTGCTGTATGTTATGTACATTAGCTGAACATCATTCCCTCTACCATAGCCACCAACTTTGTTATTTTTTTGCCAAATCTGTATCTTAAACCATTTGTAGCTTGACCCAAACTATAATTCTTTTGTACTAAGTTATAGTATTTCCAAAATAATTTGTGCAGACCTGTCACTGAAGCATATCAGGCATACTTCACCAGAATGATTTTGAAAATGCATATTTTTAAATGCATAATATTCTGCATTTTAGCATGAAATGTTCAGATTACAATCGCAAATTACAGAGATTTGATCTTTCTCAAATTTTTTCTCTTTCAGTTAATATTTTAAAAGTTGGGGCCAACAATATAAAAGGGTTGGAATTGCATGGATGAACAGATAGATTGGACTAAATTCCTGTTTGGGTCAGGAGTGAAAACTGATATTAGTTACTAATCCTATCTGTAGCTTCATTCTTTTTGCCATTACTTCCCTCTATCAAAATCTGTTTCAAGTAAACTACGATAGGCAGAAAGTAGATCTAAAATGTGTATTGTCCATTCTAGTTGACATACATACTCGTTTCAAAATGTTTAAAAACTTCTCTTGTTGGTTATGGAAAGCATAACATTTAGCTTTGTCGTTCAGTACAAATGTTATCTGAGCTTCGTTTTCAAAACATTTGTTGTTGCAGAATAAAGTACAGACCTGTTGCTTTATTTTCTGACCAGCGAAGCTAATAAATATAATGCTCTTATTCTGTTGAGTATTTTGAATGGCAGCTTACACTGCATGAGTAATGACATTTTTGTTTGAATGTTGAAGTATTTCCTACTGAACTGTTAAACTGATTTCAGCAGAAATTAAACCCTGCTCTCACAATAATGAGGTCTGATTTGAGAACCAATGTTCCTCAGCTTGATAAAATTAATTAAATATAAAATCTTTATAATCCTCTCTTGAACCCTATATTGAACTCTTGTGAGATTTTGGCATAATGGAAACTTTAACACTACATTACATAAAACTTAGCATAATGTCTGCTATTCAGATTAATATATAAACTAGAAAATCCAATGGACATTTTAAGAAATGTCCATTGGATTTTCTTAAAATTGGATTGTGATTGTGAAAGAAGCGAGACACTGTTAATATTAAAATGCTCGACTGTCAAATTGAAGAGGACCATTGGTTTCATTTTCAGTACAACTTATATTTAAACTGTTCAGTAAAAGTATGTTTTTATTGATTTTTTTTTTCTCCCCCCTTCCTCCTTTAGCAACAGTTGTCACAACTACATAAGGAGAAGCAAGACATTTTGAAGAATCTGGCACTTTATTACTTCACGTTCGTAGATGTCATGGAATTTAAGGTGCTCTGCTGTACAGCTATATTAACATCCCTGCTCTGCTATAGTAATGCAATTTTAAATGTTTTGAATATTATTCCGGAATCTGCGTCTTTTGTGACCAATTGGTCAATTTAATTAAAGTTCCAGTTTTTTTAATTGTAATCCACTGTAATTCCACTTCTGGTGACTGTCTGTTAATATAGGAGTAATGCCCTTTTAGAGATCACCATAATCTAGGAATTTATCCTGGGACCTTCCTTGCTGTATATAGTATTAACATATCATGCAATGCATTTAGACTGATCTTATTTTATTTTACTACTTCAAGGTATACTGTTTATTCCACTGATTGAATGGAGGTACTTTTGCTTAGGTATAGTTCACTTGAAAAATTTACAGTTCATTCTGTTTCCTATAGATTGTTTTCCCTCCATATTCTATTTTTGAATGAAAGTGTCAATAAACACAACAATGCCTCTAATAATTAGCACATATTGAACATTTGTAGAGAACATAAAATATTGATGGTGAGGGATCCAAGTCTTCTCTGTCTCCGTTAATTCACTGTCTGAAAAGCCATTTTTCCTTATTTATTGTACTTTTACACATTATAATAGTTGCATTTTGATGCATATTTCAATCAAAACTGAGAGCAGGAAAACTAGGAGGGATTTGAAAGGCAGCACCAAATGCAACAGAGGTAGTAGTCTAATAGCTAAAGGGTGAAATTTGACTTTTCAAAATTTCAAGCTTGCTTCATTGCAATACATAACGATGCCAGATGAGGACACTATTCCACTTTAGAATTGCAACTACAGTATTGTAAGTTCCAACATTACTAATTCATGCATTCACCTTCCTTTTTTTATGGTGAAATGAATGCAGAGAGCCTCTCTTATTACTTTGTTGATGTATTTATGATGCTGTATGTATTCTAGATTCCACTTATTTAAAATTGTGACGTTCTGAAGGAATCTTTTGAGATATTTGTGAGCAGTATTTTTTGTGCCTATCTGGATGAAAGTCCTGTGGTTAACCTTCAAATATAGTTTGGTGATTGTCACTCGGATACCTTCTTCTTGTGACTCAATGTCAGAAAAAAAATCCTAATGTCCTGTTTCTTCCTCTTCCTTTTACCTTCCCCCCTTCCAGGATCATGTGAGCGAACTGCTGAACACTGTTGATGCTTCCCAGGTTTTCTTTGATATTGTAAGTTTTTGTTTGTTTGCTTTTCAGATTGCAATTGTTGAGATTATTTTTGCAGATTAAAAACACCATTGAATTCATTTTCTTCCATTTTACNTTTTTTTTTAACCTAGACTGTCAACTTTGATTTAACTCGTAATTATTTGGATTTGGTTGTAACCTACACAACACTAATGATAATGGTGTCAAGGATTGAGGAAAGGAAGGCAATAGTGGGACTCTACAACTATGCACATGAAATGTCACATGGAGCCAGGTGAGTGAAAAAACTGAGCTGGTGGGCAGCTTAGGTGGTGTTTAATGTGATCTATATCTGTGCATGAAGGTGAACTATCTGCAGGGAATATAGGAGGGAAGAAGTAAAATGCATTCAATATTTGGGCTTTAAAGTCCTGTTGCCGTTCAAATTTTAAAGTCCTGTTAACCGATCAAATTTTATATTTCATATCAATATAAATGGAATGCCATCAGGCCTATCTCTCTGGTTTCTTTTCTGAAAGTTGTGTCCAGTCTTGATGTAAAATGGGCTGTGATATTTTCATTCTCTTCACAGTGATCGGGAATACCCAAGACTTGGCCAGATGATTGTAGATTATGAAAATCCTTTAAAGAAAATGATGGAAGAATTTGTGCCACACAGCAAGGTGAGATCTAGCGGAAGTGCAGAATGAGATTTTAAATGAGATTTTCTCTTGTGTTTCTAAAAAAAAATATCTGTTTCAGAAAATGTTACGTCTCAACTTTTGGAACATTTCCTTGTGATATTGCTGAGAATAATGTCATTACTGTCCCTATCCTCCAGTCTTTGTCAGATGCACTGATTTCACTCCAGATGGTTTACCCACGACGGAACCTTTCAGCAGAGCAGTGGAGGAATGCTCAGTTGTTGAGCCTAATCAGTGCTCCTAGCACTATGCTTAACCCTGCACAGTCTGACACGGTAAAATAGAATTTATATATAAAATATACATAGCTTTTATTATATACATAGTCCTTCCCACTTATGTTGACATGCCAGGGACTGACCGAATTTTATATTGAGATATGTGGAATATCGATATAAGCGGGTTTGAGATAAGTGGAAAGGACTATATATAGCAATTGTAGCATTCAATTTTAATCCTTCAAACTAATTCTAAACTTTTTTTGATCAGATGCCATGTGAATATCTGTCTCTGGATACGATGGAGAAATGGATTGTTTGTAAGTTGCATACTTTACACCATAATGTGAATTTCGACCACAATGCACAGATGTAACAAACAATCTCATACTGAGCAGTAATCAATATATCAATATATTTACACTCAAGGTTATTGAAATCACATCATGAAACTGCATCGGTGTGGAGCTGTGTTAAATTTTGTTTCTTATTCTTCCATCATTTTATTGTAAATTGCTTTCCCATTAGGAAATGTACTTCTACAAATTGCATCCTGATTGGCTCACTAAGTCCTCAATGAGCATTAACATTCACTTTATATTTGGACCAGAAAAAGCTTGAACGCTTTAAATTTAAATAGAGCTGGTCTCTTTCATTTCCTTGAAGTGCAAAGTATTAAAAGTTTTTATTTTAAAAAGCGTTGTAGGATATATAAAAATGCTTTTGTTAATTCTTGCAAGTTAACTAAACATGTTATACTTTTTATTAGTTGGTTTTGTGCTGTGCCATGGAACCCTAAACTCTGATGCAGCAGCTCTGAACCTGTGGAAGATTGCCTTGCAGAGCAGCTCCTGTCTTGCTCTCTTCAGAGATGAAGTCTTCCACGTACACAAGGTTGCAGAGGACTTATTCATGAACATTAAGGGGTAAATTCTTTTTTTAACTGTACAAAAAAAGTAGTAATTTTGATGCTCAAAATCAGATATGCTTTCAATTGTTAATACGAAGTAAATTGATTCAGTTTTGAAGTACTACACTTGTATTATGTTTTGTTACAAATATTGTACTTACACAGGCAAAAATTAAAATCTAAATGAATTAAATTCTAGGTGAAAAACAAGCATACCTTTAATCAGAATTTCTTATGTTTGCAGCTACAACAAACGTATAGCTGATATCCGAGAATGTCGAGAGACGGCATTATCACATGCGTAAGTATCTGTGTTTGATCCAGCCAAGAAATACGTACGTTTTGAAAATGTATGTAAGTTCTTTATAATAAGAATGGTATAAAAGCACAATATCAAAAGAAATGTAAGTGAGGTGAGCTTTCTCTTTCAATAGGAGTTGAGCTGACGGGTGGCCAGCTTGGAGATAGAATGTTGGAATCGAGTGACCAATAACTTTATGTTTGTTTTAATGCTGCTGCTGGTTTTTAAACCTCTGTTATGCTTATTTGTCTGTGTAACTTTTTGTTATCTCTTCCTCAAGTGGTCCACTGCACAGGGAGAGGCGCAAGTTCTTGAGATCGGCATTAAAAGAGCTTGCTACTGTTCTTGCTGACCAGCCAGGATTGCTAGGCCCAAAGGTACTGATATTTTTCTTTTAATGGTAGTTAATCCAAACATTCCAGTTCGATTGATGTTGACTATTTGTTTTACTTGCTGAGATCAGTAACGTTATCCTTTACCATAGTAGTTCAACGAATGTGAAAAGCAATTTTCTTTTCTTTTGATTTTGGACTCGTGGACTAAATTAAAGTGTATTGCATGGCCTTTGCTTTCAAAATGCATACGTGCTCCTGGTTTCTTGCATTTTGTATGTTACTTAGAGCACCAGAGGGGGACAATTTAGTTTTAAATTTATAATTGTACAAAATTATTTACAAAATTCTGTTTTAAAACAGACCCCTGTTTTTAAAAACAAAACAGGTAAAATGGCTTCCAAATTCATATTGAATTTGAGAAGTTTTTCCACAGTTCAAATCTTAACTTTTAAGACTAAACTGCCTTGCTGCCTAAAATTAGGTAGGATTTGTGGCTTTGGATATTTAAAGCAGAATTATTGAGGAACTGAGTTACAGAGATGTGTAACATATGAAAGAGTATTCAAAAATCAACCAGCCATCATGGGCTAGACCATAACTTAAAATAGTTCGAGAGGTTACAGCAAGTTTTATAGCTTTAGAAATGTACTGAGGATAATCGGCAAAAAAATGAAGAGGATGCGAGGAATTATCTTAAGGATAATGTGTATGTTAGGAAGCCAATGATTGATCATATTGCTTCTCTGTCTTTAAATGGAAAGAGTCTCCTGTTCTTTAACCTCAGACAGAGGAATTGGAAGGTGAAACAGTGTTTTGGATTTGTTTCTTCAGCTTGGAATTTGATCTTAAAACTAACCAGCTGATCCATCGTTCCTATTGAACCCATGACTATTATTAGCCTGATATTTCTGATCTGTGTCCAAATTTCAAGTACCTTATCTTAAGTTACTGACTTAGTCTGACTTCTATCAGGCTCATGAAGTGATCTATTCTTCACTGCTTCCATTTAGAAATAGAGCAAGATTTGATCATGCAGGTGCCAGGATGCTTATGAGCCATTTTATTGATAATACAGATCTCAGAAGCTAGAATGCTTTATTCTAAGCATTTGGCTGTTGCTTGGACTATATTCAGTGTGATTATTAGCCTGCAAGGAAAACAGGCATTGAGGGTAACCTTGTCCTTTTCAAAAGTATTGGTGCCAAATTATACAGTGTAATAAAATTGAAATTGTAATATGGTGGGTCGTGGCCAAAAAACATTGTAAAGAGGTGGCTATCTTGTGAATTCCAATCAGTGCTCATCCACAATCAGTTAATGGCAATACTGAATTTAGTAGTCAAGCAGAATTCAATACTGTTTTTTGTCTTGCTTTGGAGAGTTGCTTAAGACAATTTTTGTTTTTCCAGGCACTCTTTGTATTTATGGCTTTATCTTTTGCACGTGATGAAATTATCTGGCTCCTTCGTCACGCAGACAACATTCCAAGAACTAGAAACAGTGATGATTTTATTGATAAGTAAGTGACTTGCTTCATTTTTGCACCTAATCCAAATATTGTATTAGTTGTCATTTGTCTTTAAACCTTGATTCCTTTTTGGTTTAATTTTGCAGACACATTGCTGAGCTGATATATTACATGGAAGAGCTCAGAGCTCATGTGCGCAAATATGGACCGGTGATGCAGAGATACTATGTGCAATACCTTTCTGGTTTTGATGCAGTAGTTTTGAACGAACTTGTGCAGGTGAGATTGCTTAATGAGTTTAGATAGGATTGCAGGGATGACAAGCTATGTTAGAAAGGGATATTATTAGGAATTGCAGGCCTTTGAAAGGAAAGGGAGTGGGATATTAGATTCAGTGGCTAACAAAGCGGTAAAGTAGCTCTACAGCAGTCATTTTCTAAACAGATTTATGTGTAGATTTAGAAGTTTTAGATGCAGTGTAGTTTTTCAGCCAGTAGATGGCACGTGAATCTCATTAATCAACTTGATTTATGCTCTTGTTAGTTGAGGGATAGGACTGAGAAAACGTAAGTTTTATTGATGTTTAAGTCTACTGCATTAATTTTTTTTCTAAGCTGCTAATGCAGTAACTGTTAATGCAGTCACTCTGTTAAATAGATTCACTATGTCAACTATTGGATAAAGTGATGGGATCTAGTCTTACAACTTGGATTCTTGAGGAAGTGAATATCAATGTATGCTGTTTCTCCCCGACCCAGACCATATTTTAAAATGATTCTTCTGCTTGCTTTCTAGAATCTTTCAGTATGCCCAGAAGACGAGTCCATCATTATGTCTTCTTTTGTGAACACCATGACTTCCCTGAGTGTAAAGCAAGGTAAGACTTGCATTTATTTTGTTGCGTCCCAGCACATTATTCACCATAATTAAACTTCATTGAACTATGAAGAAAAAAACATTTTATCCTGTGCAGTGCTTAATAAGTTTATTTAACAAGCCTGTTGATCATCTCTTTCTCTGCATAATACAGTTGAGGATGGAGAAGTGTTTGATTTCAGAGGAATGAGACTGGACTGGTTTAGATTGCAGGTAAGGATGAAATTAATGTTATTAGAAGCATTTCCTTGCAGTTGATTTAGACTTTCACTTCCACCAATAGCTCCACGAAGCAAAAACAGGAGATTACAAGACTTTCAGATTGTGTAATCTAGAGTCAAAAGTGTTGTGAATATTCAGCATATGATAAACCAATTGAAAATTAAACGTGTGATTGGAATATTTGTAGACTATTTAGAGAGCAGTTTAAAGAGAAATTACAGTAAATGCTGGGTAATAATAAAAAACATGATAAATATTCAGTGGTTGAATGGAATTTAAGGAGGGGTATGCATCCTCGCCCTGTGTAATTGTTTTTCCTGCCCTGCAGTGTTTAGCTTAGATTTGTGAGCTGTTATTGAGCAGGCAGTGGTCATTCCAAGCCCCACAAAGAATGCTGGTAGATCTGGTTTGTGAAATCATAAAGTCTGAATTTCAACATTTATAAATGGAGATCAAAGACATTTGCTGACATTGTATAATTAAGCACAGTGCTGTTGGTAAGTCTCTGGAAAATAGTTTTGCTATTTCCAGGAAAACCAAAGTGTTGACGTGTCTCCCTCCAGTTTGCCAGTTTACAGTTGTAAATCTAGAAACTATTTTGAGTTCAAAGGCAAATCATACTCTGTATAGCTGTCAAAGGTGACATTTTCAAAAAGCAGTTTTCGGGTTTACATAAAGAAAAATGCAAAGTCAAGGAAATAAATGGGCACCTAAATGACAATGGCAAGATTGTAAGACAGACATCTTATTGTCATGTCCCATACAATGGATAAATATAAATGCTTGATTTGTCTTTAAACCCTCCAAAATTTCATGTTTGCTTCAATATACTATGATCAAGGTATATTTATTTTGCCCACAAATTATTAATTATTCTCTCTTCTACGCAATGTGCAATGATCAAATGGTTCTTTGCCCTTAAGGATACATGCTGGTATGGGGAACAAGTAATAAGGGTAGAAATTTGTATTTCTTAAGATTTTTGAAAAAAAAACATTTGTATTTTCTATTTAGTAAACTAAATTGAAGCATTCATGAATTATTGATCCTGTAGTATAACGGGTTAAATCAGTTGCATTATTAACAAAGTACAATGCATGACCACAAACCTATCAAAAAAATAATAATCATTTGGTCACTCAATCCACGACTGTGACACTGCTGTGCATAATTGGCTGCAGCGTTTCACCCACAAAATGTACAGTCAATTCACTTCACAATATATTCTGTGAAGCACTTTAAGACATCTCGATGATGTGATAAGGCATTATATCAAATCCAAGTATTATTACCATTTTTATTGAATTACTGCAAGACTTGGATGAAGCGAATGGTCATTGTATTTTTTCCATTTGATTCTACAGAGTGTCAATCGCCTAGTGTTTGCTTATCTTTCATTTATTACATTTATAATTGTCCAATAATTACTTTAATTCAGTATGTGTATTTTTTTTGGAACTGTGTGTAGCCCTCCAGTTTACAAGTTTTCATTTTAAAATACACAAGGAATTGGGTCAAATTGAAAATCCTGATGTTGTAATTTATAGGCTTACACTAGTGTCTCCAAGGCTTCCTCAATCTCTCCGATCACAAAGAGCTCGGAAAAATGATGAATACGATTATATTCCACACGAAAATGGTAGATTCCTTGGTTGAAATGCTGGTAGAAACTTCGGATCTCTCCATCTTCTGGTATGTTTATATTCCAGTTAATTTGAATCTTCTGGCCCTTGGTTTCCTGTGTTCCTACTAGCAATACTTCAGGGGAGTGCTAACAGGATTTTTGTATGGGGAGATGCATTCTAATATACATTCCTATGTTCCTAAGGCCCTTATCTGGAGGGAACTAAATTTAGCAGTTCAAAGCAATGTTATGAGAGCAATTGTTTATGAGCTGAAAATAATTGGCTCACCTGCTGCCTTGATTTCAAGATCCATTTATCTTCAATTGGACTTTGGCAGATTCTTAAACCTCAGTCCAAAACTCTGCCTTGTATTTCTGTATATAAAACTTGTAATTTTCCAAAATGGAAATATCAAAGGTTTTTCTGTATATGGCCCCATTATAATTGATGTACAGGAGATTATTTTATACCTTAGCTTTCTGGTTACAATTAAAACAAAACAGTACAGAGTTGAAGGATGCCATGTTTTTTTCTGCCTAGAGGCCCGAGTAGAGTAGTTTGAAAACTCACCATGTCCACACTATTTGTTGTCTTGACACACCAGGAAATGTGTGTGAACAATGTAGGAATCAACACCCTTTTCTTCCTCTGAAAATAAATCACCATGATTTTATGTTTGGGGGTGGAGGAGAGAAATCTTTGGAGAAATGGGAGTATTGGTTTAAATTGATACTGGGATCTCAACTAATTGGTAGTCTGGTACTTGTGTTTTAACTATCTGCCTGCTTTCAATGGCATTTTATGAATCTTATCAAAATTGTATCTTCTCCAGTTTTTTTTGAAAAACATTATCTGGGAGCAAATTAATTTCATATTTTAAAACTGCAAGGGCCCATAATCTTGCATTTCAGTAGAGTGTTGAACTACTGTTTTTGTATAGACATTTTGCTGGTCACAGTTTAAACGTATAGAAAATGGATTTTGTGAATAAAGATTCTCTAACAGTTCCACGCATAGGCATCTATTAAACCTGCTTTATTCAGAGCTAGTTATATGTGGAGAAAATACTGGTAACTGTGTGTAGGAAGTAACCTTTTTTTTCCTGGGTTTGCATCTTTGTATTTAATGATATCTGCAAAATTGAGTCTAAACAGCAAAAGATGAACAAATTACTCATTTGGCATATGAGCAGTTCCGCTTTCTTCCACCTCCATAATTATTGCCTGGCTCCATCTCTATCTCATCCCAACTTTTAAAGTTAGCAGAGAGGAGAGTTTAATTCCATCAGACTGGGCCTTCAACCTCTGTCCAATATATTAATTCCAAATTCTCAGTTATAATTTCTCTCCTTGAAAAAAGCGATTTATTGTGTTTATCCCAGATACTGTCCTTGTATGAAGTAGACATTTTGGCGGATTTGCATATTTGCACGCGGTTACCGAGTTTCACTCCAGGACCACGACGCATTGGGTTACTAGTATGAAAAAAGATTTATTACCAAAATTGACCACGGAGTAATCACTTCCCCTTTAATTTCATTGCAAAAAATCAGTTGCTATATTATACATTGGAAACTGCTGGAAAGCTCTTTCTTAAAAATGAAAGTTTTTTTGTATTAACCAATATTCGGGTGTACAGAACTTTTAACACTGATGTTACTGTATTAAAGTGGCGTTTAATGCTGTTAAGCTTTTACAGTCGTGCTTTTGAGAAGATGTTTCAGCAGTGCTTGGAGTTGCCTTCACAATCGCGATATTCAATCGCCTTCCCTTTGGTGTGCACACATTTTATGAGCTGCACCCATGAACTGTGTCCTGAAGAGGTAAGATTGTTTCTGACTTACTTAGTTTTAGGTACCTGATTTCAACATTGCATTTTCCAATAATTTATAATCGTGTTGGGCATTATACATCAAAGTTGAGTTGAAAAAAAATGTATGCACCCACATTGGTATGCACACTATGGTTTGAAAACCTCTTCTCCCTCTCTGGCCTTTAGCATAGCTGCTGGTCCTTGTGTCTTCGGGTCTTTGTTCACATTGTGGATGGGGAATATTCCCTGAATTGAAATTAAGATCTTTTCCCTTTGCTTTTCAGAAAGACTTTAACTGAGTCTTTTCACTTGAATTAGGAATCAGGGATGCCCTTGCCTCATTAAAATCTTAAGAACATAAGGCTTAGTCCATCTGTATAAAATATAATTGATTTTAATACAACTCATTTCAATAATTGTCTGGAAATGCTAATATCAAAATCAGATTTTAGGATCATTGTAACCAATTGCCAAGACCATTTAAGGGTGTTAATCTCTTTAATTGTGACAAATGACACTCTAAACTATGGGAGTAAAATCAGGTTATTAAATCAGCTCGCTCTTGAGGTGAATATTTATCATTCTTACAAACATTCCGTAACAAGATGTTTGTTGCCGTAGCCAGTGTGAAATTTTGCATTTAAAAACAAGATGACATTGATGTATAACATCCGCACTGTGGATTTAACTGTTGTGTATGATTGAATTAGGAAATAATGTGTATATATACATTCACTGAGCATTTTCTGTTTTAGATGTGATGTGTTTTTATGTTATTATCTTAGTAAATACTAAATTCCACCGGCATAAATGTATCGATGCACGTACAGTTTTTAGCACTCTGTTTGCGGAAAGGCTAACTCTTGCATCTGGTCCAGACATGGGTTATTTTCTATCAATATTTTATTTTCGATAAATATTTTTCCTGAAATAATTTTTGGCCAACATAAGTATGCATGTTTCATAGTCTTGTGAACTCTATTGTTTCAGAGACACCACATTGGAGATCGTAGCCTTTCACTGTGCAACATGTTTCTGGATGAAATGGCTAAGCAAGCTCGCAATCTTATCACAGACATCTGTACAGAGCAATGCACTCTCAGTGACCAGGTGAGTTTCAGTTGAGGTATTAACAAAGCTGAATTCAAAACAGTATTGAAGTTGATGTATTAAGGGATATAATGATAACCAATGCATTTCATGTAGTGCCTTTCCCATTGCGTCATAGGATTTTACTGTAAAGAGTAGTGACTACTTTGTAGGTGAATATAAGTGATGGAGTAAAAGCAGGGGGAAAAACAGTAGAGCGATCAAGAGCCGCCATGAATTAATACGATGATAGTGGATGACAAACCGTACAGCCCCCTTGAGGTCATTTTATACAATTTAGAAAATCTGGTAATCTCTGGAAACTTGTAATAGTGCTTTATATAATTACAGCAGCTTATTTTAGAGAAGTGTACACCACTGAGCAATTCTCTATGCTAAAACTTTTTTAACTTGCCATAGTTTAAAGTGCTGTGTTGGCTCAGGTGGAAGTCTGAGAAAGCTCCTAAACTGTGTTTTTCTTGTTTCCCACTATATTCTTATGGTGCATCATAAATCTCTGTACTTGTCCTCTGTGGCGTTCCTGAGTGCAAAATTGTACCTGAAATGTATTTTGCCACAGATTTTCATGCGTTTCTGAAGTTTCAGTGTTTCAGCATCTTAAGACCAGGGAAGTAATTTCACCTCTATCTTGCATTTCAGAGCAAGATAATTTTACATCTCAGAGCAAGATAGTTTTGAAATTGATTTTTTGCAAGTTCATTTAAGAACTACAAAAAACGACTTCAATGTTATGAATGAATTCAACAATTTGCCAAATTCTGCACACTAAAATGCTGAAAAGTAGAACAAATTTAGGACCTGTTGGAAATTCTCCCCACCATGTATACATTGAAAATGACAAATTCTCGAGATCTTTCAAAACTCTTCCAAGAATGAGCTGCCTTAAGGTGAACTATACTTTTGGTCATCTAAAACCTCCTATTCACAATAGTGCCTTTCACAAAAACAAAATTTCCCAAAGAATTTTTCAGCATGGAATTAACTAGAATTGAAATTAATGGCATTGTGGAGTAACTATGCAAAGTTACTAGATGGAACTTAGTCCAGAATTTCAGACAGTTAGAAATGTTACTGCAGGAGCACAATTACTGGACACCGTTAACAGCGTGCAGTGTTCTGGTCATCGTGCAGGATTGTCACCGGAGCATACGCAAAACTTTTGAAGGTTTATCTTAGTGGTGATGTTTGATACAGATGCCAGGTTCCTTATAGGTGTTCCAACAGCTGAACTGATTATCATAGTCATCATCCAAATAACTTTTATCGAGTGTGGAAGATTTCAGTTGCAGGGCATGATGATGATAATAATAATAATGATAATCCTTGCATTTGATATAGCACCTTATCATGTCTTCGAGACATCTCAAAGTGCTTCACAGGGTACACTGTAAAGTGTAGTGACTATATTTTGTGGGTGAAAGCTTTTAAAGAAATGTGCATCTTTTGTACATTCCCTGACTTGTCCCACAGCTGCCACCCTGAAAAAAAATTTTGGTTGCAAGAGTCTCGGGCATGAATTATGTTACAGCACAATAGTAAATTAACGTGTGTTGGAAAGCTTTTGTATAGCAGGATGCAAAGAATAAGTCCACCTACAGTTATAAGCAATCTAAATTTCTTTAACAATTGTTGAAAACATCAGGTGATACTGAAATTTGGCTTAGTAAACTTCAATATGTAGAGGGTTTCCGTACTGGGAGAATTTGTTACTTCTGGAAATTGAGCTGAACACAATTTTTGTTGAATGTGCAATACACTTATTTACACTAGTCCAGTGAAAGACTTCACCTGAAAACATTTAATTACACCTAATGAAAAAAATTCTACCAGAAGAAATGCAGCATTCCATGGAAATGTTTAAGGTATTAGAATACAGCTGGATCCCCACCTTCATCATTCTACTCTGTCAAGTGTGTTAGCTTTGGCATGCTTCATCCTTTAAGCTGTTTTAAGGGTTTTACTTGTGTGTTTTTTTCCTGTTGTGTAGTTACTGCCAAAACATTGTGCCAAGACTATCAGTCAAGCAGTGAACAAAAAGTCCAAAAAACAGACTGGAAAGAAAGGGGAACCTGAAAGGGAGAAACCTGGAGTGGAGAGCATGAGAAAGAACAGGCTACTGGTTACCAAGTGAGGAGTCATTAATTACCATCTCTGTAATTTAGTTAAGATTTTTTTTCAGCATTAGTCCATAAACCAGAATTGAACACTTGAGACTACACATTTGCAAGATGCATTTCCATTTTCTGTGTTTTTTTAAGAATGACTGCATATGTTATCCTGGTAGAATTACTGGTAAAGTTTTGTAATTCTGTTGGCAGAATTGCTGTTTATGAACTGTAAGTGACTATCCAGCACAAAATTAAATTTGACTAATCATTTTCTATTGTGACTTAGAATGGCAGTGGTTAAAGCAATTGTTTGAACCTCCCTGAGTTGACCTTTCACTTTTTAGCAAAGAATGCACTAAAGCATTATAGTTGCTGGAAATAGTCTTAGCTCTCCAGAGTTAATAGCAGTTCGCAAAACTTAGTAACTAAATCAGCCTTTACTCAAAGTAACATGACATGCATTACTGTGGTGGATTTGATCCATCTTAGAATGACTCTATTTACTTATGTTGAGGTTTGTACTTTGGACTAAGTACTTTGAAAATAAGCGTTTCTCCTCTATACAACACAGTCCAAATTTACACTTATATAGCAACTTTCACATCAAGAAGGTACCCCTTTTTATTTCAGTTTCTCTTCCTCTTCCCGTCCACACCCACTTTAATCTTCTGTAAATCATCTGGCCTGACCAAGAACGCTTGTTGAGGATGTCATTGACTGAAAGCTTGGAAGCTTATTGACTAAATATCTCTCCAGTACACTTTACATTTTATTGTGTCAGAACACTTTGTGACTAAATGTTTTCATGATAGCTAAACAATTGTAGGAGAACTCTTAGCCCATCATTTTTTGGGTTGGGTAATGTAGACTGTTATGGCAAGATTTGATCACTTTAAGTTACTAATTTTGGTTGTGAAGTAAAATGTGTAAACAAAATATATTTACAAAAAATGTTAATACTTTCAGGTATTGCCTTAAACTGTAAATTAACTTTTATAATGGGAAGAACTATGAAATGATTATTGGTAAATAAAACATATCTAATGTTTTTAATTGGGAACTTTGGCAACAGAAGTTGTGTTCTACTTTGAAACAATTATTTACCTGTTTAATTTGATTTTCTTTTCAGTCTGGACAAACTTCACACCGCTCTCTCGGAACTTTGTTTCTCTATCAATTATGTTCCCAATTTAGTTGTTTGGGAGCACACCTTTACACCAAGAGAATATCTGACTTCACATTTGGAAATCCGTTTTACTAAGTAAGAACGCTTCACAATTTACAAGAAACTCGACTGATATTTTGTAGAAAATTTGACAAACAAAAAGTTCCACTTTCGCTCTTACCCATTTCGGTTGAATGTTTGTCTTTTTTAAAAAAATAAGTGCAGAAACTAGAAGCTAACATTTTGACTTAATATGAAGAATCAGTGATCAGCTAAAGTAACTTGTCAAGTATTTATGAGCTGCCAGATGTTGGCAATACATTTTTAGCTTCCTGAAATTATTTCTACACAAGCATTTTTTAAAGTTCACTGTTTTTTCTGGATCCTTTTTCAAGAGCGCTCTTAAAGTATTTGACTTGAGTAACAATTTCATCTGGATTATTTCTCTCGCAAATTAAGTTTATTTTGGTAATGTTTTGACTGATGGCCCTGATTTTAATTATGGAGCTAGCCCAGAGCCTCAACATAGTCAAGGCTGATGGAAAAGAGAATTTTTTTAAAAATGTTTTGCATTAATTTAACTCATTTTGGAAGTATTTGGCAGTAAAACTAATAAAGCAACACATTTCACTGTCTCAATGTTTGAATGTATAGGTAAAATTAAATATATAATATAGTACTAATATTTTCCAATTTGTATTTACTTGCTCTGTCTTTACTTGTGTTTGAGCAGCTTTGCTTATCTTGAATGATTTACTTTTTTCAGATCAATTGTTGGGATGACCATGTACAACCAGGCTACACAGGAGATTGCAAAGCCATCTGAGCTGTTGACAAGTGTGAAAGCCTACATGACAGTACTTCAGTCCATAGAAAACTATGTGCAGATTGATATCACCAGAGTCTTTAACAATGTTCTTCTCCAACAAACGCAACATTTAGATAGTCATGGTGAACCCACCATAACTAGCCTGTACACTAATTGGTAAGTGAAGTTGATTTAGATGTACTTTTGCCTAACTTGAATTTATAAAGAGTGGATTATAGCGTGACAGAATTCCTGTTTTAATTCCATTACCTTGCACTTCTACAGGTATCTCGAAACTCTTCTGCGACAGGTCAGCAATGGGCACATTGCATATTTTCCAGCCATGAAGGCTTTCGTGAACCTTCCTACTGAGAGTGAGCTGACATTTAATGCAGAGGAATATTCAGACATCTCAGGTAAAGAAATTAGGAAGAATTTTGTGAAGTGTAAAGCTAGCTTCTCCAGCAATAAATTCATGTGCCATTTGTTGTTTTTCTTCTGTCTGCCCACATGGAACATTGTAATGATTTTTAAAGTTTATTATTTGACGCAACAACTTTCAAATCATATATCTTTTTTTCTATAGGATATATATATTTGCTTAACTACATATATATAATTCTATGAATGACAACTATATATTTGACATTGCCTTTATTTTTTGTAAAATATTGAGGCAGTTTCAGTGCTAAATGTCACCAATGAAGGAATGGGTTTAATAGGGGTGTCTTGTAATTACACTTATTTTGCATTTATTTTTAAAATTTCAATAAATGATGCATAAATTTATTGCTGTAGAGCAGCCTTACACTTCAAAACATTCTCACAAGACTCATATATCCCAAGGCAGCTGTGTAAAGCACAAATATGATTCTTTCTTCACCACACTTTACCTTGGGGACCAGGACTTTTTTGGATGAAGCTTTCTCTCTGCTCATAAATAAACTTTCATTTGACTGGAAAAAGGTTTATTTTCCTTTGATTTGTCTTTAACACTTCATTCCAAAAGAGTTGAGCATTTCCATTGTTCTCTTTGGCAAATGCTAGCTGCATTTCTTTTTGTGTATCCTCTTAGGAACATAAGAATGTACAGACCAGAGAAACTGTTGTGGTCCGTTCTGGCCAAGACCAAAGTTTGAACTGTACCATACGATACTCTTGGCTCTGATACCCCTCAGTCACTTCTTTTACCTGAATATGTCCAGGGCATTCCTGAATTTGTCAACAATGTAAGGCTGGTAGCACCCTTGCCTCTTGAGTCAGAATGTTGTGGGGTACTATAGCTTAGTGGTTAGACAAAGACACTATTCTAAAAACAAAGATAGTTACTCCTAGCAAAATGCACAATGCACTTTACCCTAAATCATGTGAAGTTCTTGGAGACGTCCTCTTGATGTAAAAGACACTATCAATTGCAAGGATTATTATTATTTGAAAACATATACTTAGGTTCAGTTTATTTACACCATAGAATTTTGAAATCCTTCCTAGTAACTACATTGAATTTGAATTATCAACCCAAGTGCAATACATGATTAATATCTTGTGGTAAGTTATTCATAAAATAACATTGCAACCTGACTTATTTTCATACTCCTTCCAAAATAACGTTCTGACCTCTGTCCTGAAATGCTTAATATGAAAAATTATTTTCATTATTATAGTCTCAGCCCAAAATGAAATGTTGTGCAGCATTGAAGTCCTTATAACTCATAGATTCTGTGTGCATTTTTAATTAAAACGTAAGAGAAGCAAAATTATGATTTAGGAATAGAACTTGTGATTCATTGTTGCTAGATCCTTTTTGCCTCAACTTTATAAAGTCATCACTCTGTAAAGTAGATATTTGGTTTTTATGTGACAGCAATTCAACTTTTGAAGGGGAATATGGTGGTAGATTTATGTTCTGACTCCTGCCGTACTATAACTTATGCAACAACACTAAGTTACTTATAGTCGCAGGCCTAGCATTTTTGTTTGAAAATCCTAATTCTTTACAGGCTTTGGTGTCATTGTGTAACATTTCCCATTGGAATTTCCAATTTCCTGATCAGATGTTCCTTAAACGACTGTAGAACAGGCCAGCAGCTGAATATCAAGTCACTTTTCTCCCGGCTATTTTTCCCTACCGTTATTGCAATGGGCTGGTTGTCTGGAAAACTGAATGTCAAAAGCTCTGCGCATCCACAGAATCTGTTGTCATCACTTCATAGGCACGATCACATACATAATGGGAATGTCATCGGGTGTACAATGCTGTCAAGTCCTAGATTCCTGGTGCGCAAAGAATGAAACCTGCTGCCACTGAGTTAATCTATCAGCAGTTCCAGTAGAAAAACACTCATTCAGCAGAAATAACTGAGTGAGTGGAGCCTCATAGTAAGTTGTTCAGTGTAGCTCACCATGGAGGTTTGGTGTTGCTAAACCGACCCATAATGCAAGCGCAGAATAAAACACAACCACTAGTTTGTCACACTGGGGTTCATGCTGGGTATTAAGATGACTTCAACTGTTTTTTTTCCCCCCGCAAATGATTTTCCTTTTCCTATTTAGTAACCAACTCACCATAGTGCTATACTGTTTTTTTTTAAATGAAGATTTACAGAACTTAAGAATGCTTTTAAATGTTATGGAAATAATAATGTAGAGGGAACATATACAATCTTTTAAACCCGCTTTTATTGCCCCCGTATAGATACTTTTGGGGATTGTGGAGGTCTTTGAAAAAATATGGTGTCAATGTGGTGAAAGAGTTGTATTACTGTTGGGAGGTTGTGGGCTGAGATTTATCTTTATTCACACAGAAATGAGGTCCCTTTCAGAGCTGCTGGGTCCATATGGAATGAAATTTCTTAGTGAAAGCTTAATGTGGCACATTTCCTCACAAGTGGCTGAACTGAAGGTAAGCTTATGGTTTCATGTTAACTGTTCATGTATGTTATTAATTGTCTGGTGCAAAGGAAACCTGAGAAGGTTGCTTTGATGTTTTAAACTTGATGTTTTAAAATGTCGGCTGGATTACTGGAAGTTCATATTACAATACGAATCGCATTGAAATGATTGCATAACAAAGTGAAAAGTTGCATCTGCAAAATAATTAGTGTTTAATCCTTTGAATAGCACATGCTAACTTCTTAAAAAGTTGTAATAAGTGGTAAATCTTTTTGTTGTCATTTTCAAGTCTAGGTTTGGTGAGTGCAAAGTGAGGACATAATACTGGTCAGGATTGAATTACCACATGATGAGTGCTCCCTTTTTGATGAGTTTTCAAATCAATAAATGTTATTGCTGTTTTCCAGACCAAAGTACAAGAGAGTTTGGATTCTTCACTTTTGGGGATTTTGACCTTGAAAGAGTTGAATTTTATTTCTTTTCAATTGTTTATGAAGTTTTATGTAATTGTGTAAATTTGAAATGTCACTGTATAAAGGAAAACAAAAGTCAGCATTGTCTTTATAGTACGTTTGGGATTTTTCCTAAACACCCCAACTGTAAATTCGGTTTACCAGGGGGAGGGGGTAGTAAATAATGAAAAACAGAAAAACAAATGTACAGGATTTATCTAGAACCACACTGTTTTAAAAAGCACCAAAGCCACATTAATTAATAGTCACAAATACTTCGCTGACAGCTGCCTTGGGCGTCTCCAGTTTCAATGCTGTTTTTCTTTTAAGTAAAACACTGACTCCAGTGGATAAAAACGGCTGGATCAAATATCCAGTTGAAAAAAAAACACACAGAAGTATCATTCTTTGAATTTAGGCCAGTTCGTTAACTGAGTTAGGTGAAAAGATGTCTTATTTCTACGTTGGCCCACTCACACCATCTTATCCTTTAGAGTGCTGCTGAGAGAACAGGAACAGCCATAGCATAAACATGACACCATAAGTTCCTTCCATTTATTATAGTTGCAGTGAGAAAATTAAATGAGGACGAATGGGAAATAGTGAACATGCTTCTGAGAGATTTTTATCTGGGAGGACAACAACAAATTACATTTGTATAGCTGAAAAAACAATAATTCTTTGTGTGGATAAATGATAACCCTCGGTACTCGAAGCAGGCAGTTTAATGAAACCGTAACTATTTTGAAAATAGTGAGTCATTGATGAGCTAGAAATGAGCAAACATGGTTCCCATATTTAAGAAGAATGGCAGTCATATCTGATTAATACAATCCCTTTACAATTCTCTGGCAGTATAAATCTATTAGTCCCATTGCTCTCTCTCTGTGTCTTGGCAAACTAGGCAATCTAACAAAACATCTGTAATCCATAATATAAAATTGTGAAAGTGCAGATGGAGATCTTTGGATCATACAAAATAATTTGGTATATTGTACAATTAAAGAAATTGGTCAATTCAAATTTCCCCATTCTGCGTTAGTTTTGTGTTGTTTGAGAATCTGTACATCTTGCATTTATAAAAATGAAGGTTAACGTTTTTTTTGATAATCTGGTGCAGATGAAACTTCTTCAGTTATAAATATAAAGAATATGTGGTCTCCAAGGGTTATTGAGAAGATTTTTCTGTTTTTAAAATCAAATTATTTCGTTTGTGGTCAAACCCAAGCGAATGCATTATTGTGTGAAAATAATGTTGGCAGTTGTTTCTTTTAGAGAGACGTTTTTTAACCTCATATGAAAATGATTTAGTTTTGGGGGGAAATGTACAACTCTGACTGAATGTAAAGTGATCTAGAATTAGGATGATTGCTGAACTATGGTGCATTTTTTTTTACTTTTGGTGCTTTTTTAAAATTGATTCTCAATATTCTAGTCTTGGAAATACAGAACAACCTCCTCCAAACACCTCTTGCTGTTTATTGAAAATCTTTTCTCAGCCGGGCAGACTGCTTTGCAGGAATGCTCATTGCCATTTTGCGATGAGGATTGGAAAAGAGGGGGATGGTGGGGGGGAGAGGAGAGGTTGAAAGAAAATTAATTTCTCTTCACCCATGCTGTTAAGTTTGTCCTTGCGGATTGGAGATAGGAAGACGGAGACATGTGTTATAAAGCTGTGGCGTGTTTTGTTTCAGAAGTCAAGTCAAACATCTTAAATCTCTTTTGGGAACCAAAGATTGTTGAACCATCTGGAGTTTATAAACCTAATTTCCTTTTGCCAGATTGAAATATCTTTTTGATTTTGGTTATCTGTGTGCTGACTAAGTGCCTGATACTAAGTCTCCTTTCTTCTTAGAAACTTGTAGTGGAGAATGTTGATGTGCTAACACAAATGAGGACCAGCTTTGACAAACCAGACCAGATGGCAGCACTCTTCAAAAGATTAACATGTGGGTGCAGAACATGTTCTTATATTAAAGCAACTGGACAGATGATTAGTGATTTAATCGCTTCTGTCTTAATGAAACTATAGTTATGAACATTTCATTGATGCAGTTTGCACATATACTAGATATCCTAGGTCTTATTTCAGAGTGAAACTTTACAGTGATTAAAAAGAGGAGAATGTATCAAGACTATCAAGTTATTTGTGCTTTTTTTTATTCAAAATCTCCCAAGCAGCAATGTTAAGAGATCAACAGTTTGACTCATTGACTGGAAACTCTTGCGTGATTAAATCAGTACAATTAGCATTCAATATCAGAGAGCAATAACTAAGACTTTTGTGTTTCCCCTCCGTGTAGGGCAGAAAGATTATTTCAAGTTTGACATACTGTTGATTCTTTTTTGACATAGGCAAGTCAAGGATGTCTGTCATTCACTCTTTACAGAGTCAACGTGCTGCTGGCTATTTGGACACTGTTTGTATCTTGAGCATAAAATGCAGATTAGCCTTGGTATTTTGAAGACTAAAAGCATTGGTTACTATCCCTATAAAAGTTCTGATTGTTTTATTATGTCAGGTCAGTAATTGTATAGATATCTCTCATGAAGAAAACTTCCAGTTGATGCTGTTTTTGCTTTTTTTTGTTGAATACAGCGGTTGATAGTGTTCTGAAGAGGATGACAATAATTGGTGTTATCCTATCATTTCGTTCACTAGCACAGGAAGCACTAAGAGATGTAAGTATGGACAATGGATTGTATCTCTATCATGAATAATAATAGGTCAATCATCAACTGCATATTATTTCAAGGGAATCCTCTGCAGTTTGCACATATACTAGATATCTTAGATCATATTTCAGAGTGAAACTTTACAGTGATTGAAAAGAGGAGAATGTATCAAGATTATCAAGTTATTTGTTTACTTTTGATTCAAAAACTCCCAAGCGGGAATGTTAGAGATCAACAGTTTGACTCATTGAATGGACTTAAACTCTTGTGTAATTAAATCAGTAAAATTAGCATTCAATATCAGAGAACAATAAATAAGACAAAAGCCTTATTTTGTGTTTCCCCCTTTGTAGGGCAGAAAGATTACTTCAAGTTTGACATACTATTTGAAATAGCAATGAAGTTTCTTTTTGTCTAATTGCACACAGTATTAGTCAAATAGATTGGAATATTTTACTAATTAATCCTGTGGTGAAGAAACATTGGTTAGGAAAATATCACTATCATTAGTAATCTTGCGAGAAACATTTTTACATTAGCACAGTGAAATCACTGAATGGTGGTTACAGTATTTACAAGGCAGGGTTGTATTTTGAGAATTGAGAAACCACAATAGAGCTAAATCAAGCATTCAGATTGTTAACGGAGACCATTAGCCAAATATCCAAAAATCATCCATGATACAATTGATTGCAAATATTTAAGAGCACACGATAATTTGACTGAGACATCAACGGTTTAATGATGAATGAATTTTCAAACTTGTTTATTCCCAAATAAACAGTTACATTTCTTTTAAGGTTCTGTCCTGCCACATTCCCTTTCTTGTGAGCTCAATTGAAGACTTCAAGGACCATATTCCACGAGAGACTGATATGAAGGTAGTTATGTGACTGAAATGTCATTTAGTACATGTGCTTCATTTTCTGAGGAAAAGAAAATATTAGAAGTTTCAAACGTCTTGTATTGTATAAAATTTAAAGTCGTGTAGAAAATTCTTAAATTCAGTCTTAATTTAGAAGCCAATTCTTTTGTCAGATCAGTGGAAAATTAGCTTTCAAATAAAGCTTGAAGTAAATAATTGCATAATGTTGTAGGCTAGTAATGATTGTGTAAAGAATTCTTCAATGTTCCTTTTATTCTAAGTATACTTGCTTATTCCGAAATTTACTTTGTTCATTTCCTTTGCTTCCTTTTTTTATGAGATTTGTTCATATCTGCAGGTTGCAATGAATGTGTATGAACTTTCTTCAGCATCTGGTCTGCCTTGTGAGATTGATCCAGCATTGGTGGTAGCATTGTCATCCCAGAAGTCAGGTAGGTGACTACATAAACTGGTAAACTCCTGATAACTCTATCCTTGTCATGACCGCTTAAGTCATCATACTGTCAATATCCTGACTACATTTATTTATGCATTTATACATAATGTATTTATACATAAAGTGCCACTCGGAATAACTCGTCACTGAGCCCTTTTCCCTTGGAGCAACGAGTTATCAGTTTACTATATTTGCATATTTTAAGACTTTAAAAAATTCTGCTTGTTGTAGGGATTTTCATGTTTGCTTATAGGATTTCCTATTGTAGGTACACATTGTCAATGTCGCTCCACTGACCGACGAGAGAAATTGTCCCGTATACTTCAAGCTCAGTTACTAAATCTTCATTCTTTGTTTTGATGAAATACTGCAGACTTAAGATTGTTAACCAGCAGCAAAAATAACATCAGTAGGAGTAGAGCCATTAGATTTGACAGCCCCCTGCAGGCACTGATGTATGTGGGTAATGGGTTCCAGGCTCTTGTTCATTATAGTGAAAGTGCTAATGCACAATTTTAAACTCAGTAGTTAATCTTGAGCATCATAAATATGCAATATTCTCATAAGTCTGTACTTTAGGAAAGAGGCTTGGCATAGATGCTTACTTAAATCAGCTCTCTTTGCTGCTTTTTTTTCTTACTGATAGTTTCCTCAGTGAAGAAGCCTTCATTAATTACTCATGTAGACATGTTACTAATAAGATAATTTCAGTTTAAATGAGTGGAGACCACACAGGTGGATGAAGTGTTTTTTGAAGCATCTCGTACTTTGATTGTAAACAAACTGTGGAACTAATCTGAACATAGAATTCTGCAAGCAATCCTTTGAGTGATGCATATGGTTAGGTTGAACAGCAAAACCATACTGAACGGTTGTATTCTGGTTAACTTAACATTCAGCCTAACACCTGATGTAAGTGATTTTGTTCCAATATCCTGCTGGATCTAAATTGGAATTAAATTTTTGCTTCTTTCACAATAGGAAATGTTCCCAATGTGTGTGGAATTCTGAATGCTGCAATTTGTACAAACAATCTGGATTCTGTCTTTTTCATTTGCATAATGACAGTATTGAATAAATAGTTGAACAGGAACTATTGAGCAAGTCTCATCCAAACAAATTATCACATAACTGATCAACTGGTAACTGTTGATTTTGAATGTTGAATAATTGATCACCAAGGACAGATAGAAAAAGGAAAAAAAAGAATACTGGAAACGCAAAAATAAAAATTCTGCTAATGGACATCAGAAAGATGACTATCAGAGAGAGAGTGTGAGAAGTTGATCTTTTTGATGCAATCCTTCATTACTGATGAAACTTGCACTCAAAGTGTTAACCTAGACCCTAGCACAAAATTGCCAGTGAAATGTTTAATATCAACATTACTTACCTTCCCAAGAGCTTTCTGGAGGCTGCGGGGATTTGAGACCTGTCTACATCTGCTAAAGAATTTGTTTTATCTCTACTATTTAATTTTAAATTAGTTACACTGTTTTGAGTATAAACTAATTAATTTATTAAAGTTCACCAGGCTCAAATCTCCTCCTCTGCAAACTCTTTCCAAACATTGCATTTTAGGTGTAACACGTCACCTATTTCCTTTAACTCAGTTGCACTTCATTTATCTTTGGCGACGAGGCTAAATGTTGGTCAGAGTAGCTGGAACTTGTTAAAGGAATGCAGTGAGGTCTGACCAAATATGCATGAAACAAATCCGATCTGGCGTTTTAGTATTATTTATTAAGGTAGCCTTTTATGCCTTATGAGTTGACTTTTTTCTTATATGACAAATTAGTCTTAATTAATATTTTCTTTCAATTCTTCAGAGAACATTAGTCCAGAGGAGGAATATAAGATTGCCTGCCTCCTTATGGTGTTTGTCGCAGTTTCTCTACCAACACTAGCCAGCAATGTCATGTCTCAGTATAGTCCTGCTATCGAAGGTAAAAACATGTGAAAATGGAACATATGAAATGTGAAGATTTTTGATGCTGTCATTTTCAAGACACAAAACAGTATTGTCAGTGCCTTGTTGTTATAAGCTCTTGGTTTCTCAAACTTGTGTTCCTATCACCCCATTCTTGTTCGCTGCTTGCCTTGGCATTCTCTACTTGTCCCTCTTTCCTGGACTGTTTTGATTCTTATTTTCCAATCCTTCCATAATCTTGATCCACTGAACCTGATCTGGAATATGTCCCTTCCATACAAATATTACCTCAGGTTTTTCAAGCCAGAATCTTACTTTCCTGTGCGTGATATAGTTTTACACTTTCCCAGTAGCCCTATTTTGCAGGAGGTATTCTGGAAAAAGAATGCTGAGGAAAGCTAACAAAGGCACTGACCCAAAAAGTTTGACAGTCAATCCTACAACTTAGCCAGCAATCTTTTCTGCTGCTTAGAAAAGGTTCATATAGATCAGGCAACAAACTGCTCATGTCCACCTTGTTAACTTGACTGAGCGAAAAGATGCCCTGAGTGCAAAGAAATTGTAGCTCGAAGCAAACTTTTATATTTCCATCTCACCACTGCTGTCTTGTTGATCTTGTTTTTTTTTATCGGCACTCGTAAATGTAGAATTAAAGAGACGGTTATTTAACCCATTGTTGTTAGTAATCGTGGTACATTTTCTGTAACTTGAGAATAAGTTCTGTTCATTTTATTTTGCAGGGCATTGCAACAACATTCATTGTTTGGCCAAAGCTATCAATCAAATCGCTGCTGCCTTGTTCACCATTCATAAGGGAAGCATTGAAGACCGTCTTAAAGAATTTCTTGCTGTAGGTACAGCGGCTGTTTAGATTGATTTGATTTTTGGTTTCTGCCTTGAAGATCAGCATTTCTAACTTAAAATGCTATAGTTCTACTTGATAGTGTGAAATGATGCTGTTTAAAACAGTGCACGCTGTAGAAGTTCAGTCAGATATTGGGATTGTTGACTGTGAGGTTGATGGGACAGAGACTGTTGGGTAAAACCGAGTCAGGTTGCAGGAAGAACTATATTTATGCTTACCATGTATGAGCATATTGTTTGATTACTAAAATACTTGAATTTTTCTATTGTATAACTATGGTATGTAGACAGCCCCTTTTATGATTGACCCTGACAGTGCAGTTTTTCTTTCAAGGTTCTATGCAAGTGTTGGTATGCTGACTGTTCAAAACTGTAAAGAGGCATGTGTACCATAAGTCATTTCAAAAGATCTGATTGTCAATTAGTTTCCCCAGTAGACTGCGTATAGCCTTCGCAAGAGTTTTATAGGGACCACATTGTACATTGTAAATGTCAAGTAAAATTCCGAGTCATGAATAATTTTAGATCTTCAAAATCACCTTGTAATGTTCCGGACAGTCAGTGGAGCCATGGTAAAAGTGTACATTCCAAACAAATTTGGGCCTAATATAGAAACTCTTGCGGTTTTTCTCCATGAAGTTCTTACAGTTCAGTGTGTTGGCGTAGGTAGTTCCTAAACACATTCTCCTTATGTCAACTGGTAACCGTGAATCCCATTTCTGTCATGAGTGGAAAACTAAACATCATCCAGTTGGAATAGCCTTGCGGTCTCTACTTATAACTCAGGACACTGCATTGCTCTCTAATAGTTCTACTCAGCACACAGTGTCTCTTCATGGACAGCTATACAAATTAACCTGGGACTGGCAACTCAAGCAGATTGCACTCCAACTAGCAGAGCTGACATTTCCAACAGTTTCAGCTAAATAATTTGCCAGTCCTCCTGACTTGTTTATAAAAACATAAATTTACATTGGTTTTCGCTTGAGTGCCTCAAAGAGCAGGCCAGAAGTAACATCACGGATCGTTCCAAGTGAATCCTACACGAGGCATTCTCTTTAGTTTTTTCCCTGAGCCTTAGATTTAAATGTTTGTAACTGTAGACGTTTGTTCCTTTACAGCTTGCATCTTCAAGTTTGCTAAAAATTGGACAGGAGACTGATAAAACCACTACAAGAAACCGAGAATCTGTTTATCTCCTGCTCGATATGGTGAGTGTGTTTACAATGCTGATGGCCATTCATAAATTGTGCTCCTATGATTTCTTTCACTTTTGGATGTTCTTTCTCCTTTACCTCATTCTTCCTTATAGTAATTGTATAAAGGACAGTTCTTTCTATAAAGACCATTTGGCTTCATTTGATCGACTCTAAAGTACTTGGCATTTGTAGCAGAATGCCATGTTCGACTAAAAATGTAGCCTTGTCTAAAAACTAGAATGGTACAGTCATGTTTTCATCCCAGTGAAATCCCCTTTGCTTCTGAAAAGCAGCAGTATAAACAAAACAGTAATTATTTGTCCTCAGCAGTCATGTTTTATGTCATGAGCTAATCTGCACATATCCAGCTTGTCTGGCTTTGAAATTTACACACAGTGTTTATTTTAACTTCTCACTTACAAAATCCTTTTTTGAAAGATTGGTCAGTGTAATATTTATGGTGCTTTTACCGTTTTGTTGAATGTTTCTAACAAGACTGTTTTTCTTGTAGTTTGCTTGAGCTGTTAAATAAGCATAGCAACAGAGTGGTCTATCTTTGTCACTGAAAAGGCTGACTGAAATGCCGCAGTGTACCTAATCAGCGTTCTGTCATGTTGTTGGAATTTTCCTCAGATTGTACAAGAATCTCCTTTCCTGACAATGGACCTGCTGGAGTCTTGTTTCCCTTATGTCCTCCTCCGAAACGCATACCATGCTGTCTACAAGCAAAGTGTCACATCTTCTGCATAACCTGGAGCCTTCTAGAGGCAAGATGTGATTAACTGAGTGTTCTGCAGTATTGGTTTGCAAACTAACTGTTGAATTATTTTACTTGATCATATAAGAGCAGCTTTATGAAACTCATTTTTTCATAAATGTGCATTGTAGACCAGTACAGTAGTTTCTTTTAAGGTCATCAATATGCTTGACTGATTTGCTGAATAGTGGTAAAGCCGAGTTTTATTTTAAATAGCAGCTACATTTGTTAAAATTACACTACCATAAGATTGTTGGTTAAGTTTTTAAAAATCATCAATCATGCACATGAAACAACTGTTTGAAAACCTCTCGTTCCTTAATGCTGTATTAAAAATGCGGAGGAAAATTCATCTAGTGATTATTTTAGATGGTGTTCTAGCTTTCTTCTGTGTGTAAATTATTTCAGGTAATTAGGGGAAGAAGTGATTTGTACCTGTTGCTTTCACAGTGAATGGGATGGGTGATTAGTTCATTTTGTGCATTTATTACAATACTCTTTCCTTTCATTTTAAATGATTGCAATATTAGTTACTCTAATAAAGTACATTACACTATGTCAAACTTCTATAGGAATGCTGAAAGCTACAGAGACAATTATAGCAATCCACTGCACATTACTCTTATAAACAACAGAAGTGATGTTTGTACAAAGCATAATATAATTTTTTTTATAAAACTAACTTCAGTGGAGACCTTGTTGAATTTCACATTACCATTGTACCCTGTTGTATGGTATGATAAACATTCATGAATATTTATCAAATACTGATAAATTGCTAGCCTTTAATCTCTTTTATATGTTTTACATTTTTCAAGTTTTTGTGTATCTTCCATAACGAACAATAAAACACTAGGTTACTTCACATCCACAACATTGAATGTTTTATTTGCATAAATGTTTGGTGAAAGCCACATTTAAATGTTGGTTCTTTCACTAGCTCAGCAGAAATATTGCCTCACAGGTTTGGAGTTCAGGACATTAATGCTTATGGTAATTAATGGTGGGAGCCCTGGTTCTGAAAACAAATCAGATAGCCTACAGCAACAGAGATTTGTGGGCGTTTTGGCATTAGCCTTTGCACCCCTACCAGCTCCAGAAAAATGCTTATTATTGTTCTCATCTGGCCTGGCATTTGATTTAACTGTTCTTCCTCTGAAGTAAATTCGAGATGCAGGATTGTCTGTTACTCCAGCTAAACAATCCGTTTCAGAGCGGCAACTGCAGGCTACTGGCAGCAGGCCTGCCTGTGCCCACATTGCTGGGTGGTGCACGATACAAAGACACTTGTGAAAGGAAAGAAAATGTTACTTTGAAAACAAAACGTGTATATTGGTATTACGCATAATGAATTCTGGTTAAGCCTCCAACTTTGCTTGAGGGCTACATCTACTTCAGCATAGATTTACGTAGTAGGGCTGGAAAATTGCAGTTGCCAACTAATGTAGTGGGTTATTTTCAGCATTGGGCCCTCGCATCAGCTTGTAAGTATTCTCAGTGTACATCCGCCTGAACTCTACTGTCTTTATCTTTTTGAAGCTGTTCCCTTTATAGCCGATTAAAGCTGCACCATATCCACTGACGAACAATTTATTAATCCCATTCTTCCTCTTGTCTTCCTAACCTGATACATCACAGTGCTTAAATTGGGACTGTCTATATGTTTGTCATTGGTAGCATATATCAAACTACCAGACTTAATTCCATTATTTCCTAAAGATTGGTATTGTGTAACTCAATCAAATAAATGGGTTCATTAGAGGATCATGAGCAAGAGCCCATTTCTACACAATGTGTTTATTAACATAGGTTATGAGTTCTGGACTGTTTCTTAAATGGATGGGAATCTCCTGTAATTTCCAAATTCCTGGCTTACCTAATGTGCCGTATAATGTGGTAACAACTGGGTTAAAACCTAAGAATTAGGAGCAGACTATTCGGCCCCTCGAGCCTGCCCTGCCATTCAATAAGATCATGGCTGATCTATTCTAACTCCACCTACCCACCTTATCCCCATATCCCTTTATCCACAAGAAATCTTATCAATCTCAGTCTTGAATATGTTCAAGGACTGAGCATCCACAGCCCTTTGGGATAGAGAATTCCATAAATTCACTACCCTCTGAGTGAAGAAGTTTATAGTTTCTCCAACCAGGGGAAAAAGTCTCTCACTATCTATTCTGTCGTGCCCCTTTATAATCTTATAGGTTTCTGTAAGATTTTGAAATTTGATAATTTGGGTTTGATAATACTGTAATATACCCACTAAATGTGTAGTTGTATGCAAACAATCAAGTGGGATCTGATAACAAGGTGGCCTGACACTTGCAAGTGTAAAGTTTCCATTTTGAGATCAGACTAGTTCAACGAAAAGTCCAATTGGCATTTTACATGTATTATTTCCAGAATCCTTTAAACAATCCTAACTAAAAGATTTTGTTATCGGAGAAGTAATTATTTATTTCCTCAAGAGTTTTGTTTTAATTAAAACGCTATCAATATGCTTTTGGGCACAGAATTAATAAAGAAATAGAATTTCAGGTACATAAGACTTGCCTCAAGACTTGTTTATTGCACTTGCCAAGCCAAGCATCAAACAATTCTGAGAGATGTGTTTATGTAACCTTGGAGTTAACCTCTATCAAGACAGTATTATGACACTTGTAGCTCAAAAACCACAACAGGTACTTACTCTAAAAATGCCACAGTAAATCAGGCTGATGAGACCTACAAGTAAGTATCATGGCAGAAGCAACAGCTGGAGCAAGATGTACTCTTTTGCCCACAAGGTGCTATATCAAATGCAAGGATTATTATTATTACTCTGAAAGAGAACTGGACCGAATGAGAATGTCAAGGGCATAATTACACCAAAGAGCAGCCCTCGTTAGGATAAAGTTTTTTTTTGATGTTCATACAAACTGGCAGTAAGAATTGAGTGTTTACTGTGAAGCTAACCAGATGGTCTACACTTTGATCAGTACCGTGAAGATCTTGGTTCTCAACAACTCCTGGGTCTGGACACTACAAGTGTTCCATTCTTGGACATGTCAGTTTGCACACAGTATTAACTTTTTGTAGCGTAGGACAACTTATTGTGTTCATCTGTCATAATAGTAGCCTTTTCTTTCCAATAGATAGCTTAGTTATGAAATGGAAATGGCACCAAATCAAGGTTATCGAGTATTGTACGTCACAGAGTGAGGAAAGTGTTTCAAGCTTAATACCCTTGTCTTTGTGTAACCAGTGTTTAAAATATAATGAGGGAGTTGGCATGTTTTAGATGTTCAGAAACTTGTTTTGTGGATTTAGTATTGTTCACATTTTTGTTAACTTGTGTGTGAGGAGGTCAGTTTTAGAAATTTGTTAAGAGTCATCTTTAAACGAGATGAATTGTATTATTATAAAAGGAAATGGTATTGTATGAGTGAAAGCAGCACAAAATAAAGCTCATGGATGGTTGTTTCAGTCTTGCGTATTGGCATATTAAAGTTTTTGCCAAACCAAGAAAGCACTGTATGATGGAACGTACATCATAGTAAAACCCTGAGTTTCCCCTTTATGAACATTTAAACTTCTTTTAAATTTTCTGAATTGTTGTTCTAAGTCGCACACTTTACACTGATTTGGCAACATTTAGCAATTATCCAGTGATTTCTGTTTTTATCTGCGAAGTGTTATTGTATTTAGCAGACTTCAAAACCTAACTAATATTCAAGTCCTGTGCAAAGGCTAAAATATGTACTTGTAGTATACATTAATTTATTACACTGAACAGATTATCTGTATCTGTTGGTATTTTATATGAAATGATAGATTACAACAAGTCCACTAAGAAGTTATTCTCTTCATAATCGTGTTGTCCATAGACTTTTTTGTTAGTTTTGCAGTTCTGTGATAGAATACTTATCTGGAAGTGATAGATAAATCAAATATTTTGCAATTTATCAGGTGTTTTATTATCTCCTTCGTACTTTGTTTCAATGTAGTGCACAAACAGTTATGCTTTGCTGCTTGAATTTGAAATAGAAGCTTTGAATAATGCCACTTGCATTAATGGCACTGTTTTTAATCTCCTTTCACACACCCCAATCACCACTTTGTCCTTTTTTCAATCAGAATTATGCCTTTTGTTCTTGCCTTCACATCCGTTTCGACTAGATAAAGCATTGGCAGATGCAAAACTAACAGAGTTGTCATGTAAAAGGTCTCCTTTATCACTTTTGTTTCAATGGAGGACATTCAGGCTTATATAACTGGAAAACTAATTACGGATAATAAAAGATGGCAACTAAAATTCAGGACATGCTTTGATCTGTCATAAATGTATCTCGTGTAGAATGGGCTGTGACTTTGTTTCGGTACTAAACCATTGAGCACCAGATGAGGGCATTACATCTGTGGAATACTGTGAAATAGGCTTTAGAAAGTTTTTCTAAAAATATTTTTGAATAGGAGAAAACCCAGAGAATAGTGGATAACTTCGTAATAACAATAGTCATTGTCACAATAACATTTTGACACAGTGGCAAGACATCTCAAAGTGCTTCACGGGACATACTGTAAAGTAGTCACCTTGTATTTTGTAGGTGAATTATTCAGAATTTGTCAGTTTAAAATATTTTCCACATGATGTGTAAATTCAAAGTATTTTGTACAGTTTCATATGAAAGTCTACAGCAATTATTCAGATGAATGTAGCCCAAATAAATTACTCATCACATGTTTTATCACTACTGTAGTGCTGTACAATATTTACACGAACAATTTTTTTTAACAAACATAATATTTTTGTGTCAGTAAAAGGATTAAAATAGCTAATTAGTCTTGCCCACTGGGAACTTGATGTAGATTGCCAGCATAGAAAAAAGCCTGTCATCCCATCGTGTAGACTGGATTTGAAAGCAAGGTCCTGTAGTGGGATGTTGACCTTTTGCTATTCCTAAAAAAAGAAATGTTTGTTGCAAAGAGATGAACTACTGTCAGCTGTAACTTATTGATGCATCACTGTAGATTAGTGTGTGCTCCCTGCCTACCTGTTTCCCTGAAGTCGATCTTTGCTATTCAGAAAGGTTCTTGGAGGTATGGTAAATGTCTGCCTGCTTGTCTTTCTAACACTAGGAGATTTTATAGATGCAGTATCCACACACGCGAGTGTAAGACAAAAGTCTGTGTAACCGATGGAAGTTCAGCTACAACAGCATCTGGTATAACATAGATGTTGCTCACATCAGCCTCGTGAGTTCTAAGATACGGTTTGGCTATTGTACTGTGGCCTGGTTAAAAAGATGGCAGCTGTTGTATGATATCAAAATGCATTCCTCTGGCAAAAGACTGCTCATGGGGAAAGTTTAAAAGCTGGCTCCTATTAAGGTATCCTGGAAGGATTCCATTTGAGAAATTTCCATGTTTACCAGGAAACCCATCTGTTTGAAGCAGAGACTGTCTGTTCAATAGTTCTGGCTCCTTCCTGGGAAACACACTCTCATGAGTTAGTAGTCCAAATATTGTTAGCATGTGAACCCCTGCAAGGCAGATATATTGCTGCCATTAACAGACTGTTCATAAAGATGATTGGGGTTGAGAATAGTTGAATTATAGTACTGTACAATGATTTTTATATTATATTCACAATGCACTCAAAAAGAATACACTATACAGAAAACTCAGTAAAGCACAGTGAGACATTTTGATGTTTTAAAGCTTTATGCCAAACAATTTTTTTATTATTTAATGTAGTGTTGCTGGAACAAAAATCATTGATATAGTGCCTTATCATGTCATTGAAACATCTCAAAGTACTTCACGGGATATACTGTAGAGTGGATGATTGTGTATTTTGTGGGTGAAACGCGGCAGCCAGTTTCACACAGCAGTGACCCACAATCAGCCATGCGGTGAGTGCCAATTTTTATTTGGGGAATTGTTGGCAGGACACCAGGAGAAACTACCTTTTTTTGAATAGTACCACGGGATGTTTGACATCCACCTAAACAGGCAGACGGGACCTCAGTTTAACGTATCATCTGAAGGACAACAACTCCAGCAATGCAATACCCTCTAGACTGATACTGCTTCACAGCATTGGAGTATCGCCTATAACTATACGATCCAAGTATCCGACATGTGGCTTGAACCCACTCTTCTGACTCATGTGAGATTGCTACCAATGTGCCAGGCTGACACAAATGCAAGTCAAAAGGTTAGTACTGATTAAGAGTGATCGTATTACTGCTGAGATCTTTAATTGTATTTCAAGACCACGATTGTCATTCAGAAGCAAGAATTACAAGAACTAATCCATACCCTGTTGCATTATTCTGCAGTGGCGACAAGCCTCCTGTAGAGAAATAACATACAAAGAAAATAACACAGAGAAATCAGGAGGAAACACAAAGTGTTAAAGAGAGCAATAGCAGTGGCCAAACCCAATAAGTCTAAATAAACTAAGCAAAAGATCCCTTAAAAAGCAAAACATGCCAATAATTAATATAAACAGAACTGAATCGGATAACACAAGCAAGTATCAAGTTCATTTAAAGTAATCTCTGATTGGATTCCTTATCCTTATCGGGTCAATTGGTCAAGTCAAAATCCAGTTGTACGAATGTTGAATCTAAAAGTATGGCTCTTTGCTGCTGGGCTATTACCACCGCAGGATACAGAAAGCTATAGCAAACGATGTGTCAAGGCTCTTTTATTATCTGGAAATATAGACAGGGATACCATTAAAATTGTATGCCAAAAATTGGACAAGGCTGATATTGCTGAAATCATTACTCCAAAACAAGGCTGCCTTTTCTGTTAGTCTTACCGCAAATGGTAAAACCACTGTTGAAACAGCAGTCATTGCCAATGCCCACTTCCTTCTAAATTAATACTTTACAGCTGTAGGTGGTAGATGGAAGAATGAGATAGTGTGGCCATAAATGTGTTCATATCTGCTGCTAACAGTGCTGTTCTATGAAGGGCAAAAATGTATGCTTCTTCAGGAAGAAACTGGTCCACTTAGGTTTTTTTTCCTTCCCCTCCATACAGTGCTCCATCTAGCACAGGGAGAGCCTCTCCAAATCAATTGAAAGTGGCAAAGTAAATTTACTTCTGACACCCTTATATATAGTACTCTTACGCTTACTCAGCTGAAAGTTTCTCAGGACTTCGAAGAATATATCACCAAGAAGCAAAGGAAGAGGACAGAGTATGTACTTATAAGATACTTAATTCTGACATAGTTTCACTGGATTATTGCCACGAGGAAAGGAAATAGGGACAAGGGAATGGCCATTGCATTCGGGAATAATATAAATATAACTACTGAAGACTGATCTGCGTGTGGGAAGAGGTAATGAGACAATTGTGGACGACTGACTATGGAAAGCATGTAAAGAACTTGTCAGTTGTATTCTGAGCAAGATTATCAGGGCAATTGGAGGGAGGGGAATTATTCTATTTATGGATCTTATAAATCTCTATCAGATCCCAAACACTTCAGAAGGGAAGGTAAACTGAGTTCGGGAAGCAAAATGCTGTAACATACATAGGTTGTACGTGTTATATTAAATATAGAGTATTTAAATATAACACATACAAAACATTTCACCCACAACATATACAGTCAATTCACTTTACAGTATATTCTGTGGAGTGCTTTGAGACGTCTCAAAGTCGTGATAAGGCGCTATATCAAATGCAAGGACGATTACTATTATTTTCCAGTAAGACTCAACTTTCTTAAATAGGGAAAATATGTATGTATGTGCGTGTGTGTAAAAAAAAGATGAAAATACAGTAGCAAAGACAAATGAGAGATTGTTTTTTTTGCATAAATGGGAACCTTTCTAAAAAATTGCTTTGGGGAATCCAACTACACAGCCTGCTATAGCCTCCAATTACACACACACACACACACACAAGCTGAAAATCACTGGCTGGGCACAGAATTCAGTCTCATTTCTGTCCCCCTCCCAAAAAAGAAACTCAAAAAGATTTTAAAAACGATTTCATGATTTGCCCTCTTATTAAACCACATCTACACGCAAAACCCGAAAGAAAAGCATGACTCAATCACAAAGTCATGTATAAATAATAATACAAATTTAAAGCTCCTACTTTCTCTCTTTCTCTCTCTCTCTCTCTCTCCCTCCCTCCACTGCTATTGATCGCTCACTCAAAAGAATGATCAAAAGTGCAGTTTTCATATGAAACAAATTGCATGCACAGTAATTTGCTGGTAATTCTCTTTCAAATAAAAAAGAAGACACAAACAGAACAGTGGCATTCAAAATACGTGCAAGTCCATCCTGCTTGCAAAAAAAAACCCCATTCTGTATTACTTTTAGAGGATTGACTTTTATTACCCCCCAAAAAAAAAGTAGGGGCTGGAGGGAGAAAAGGTGTGATTTACTGAAACATTTGGGTCTATTTTCCTGGAACATTAGAACTTTTTTTAAAAAAAACTTTAAATTCTAGAGTAATTGTTTTTTGTTGCTGTTATTAAAGTGGTGGATTCATTAAGCCTCTGGCAATGATCTTGACCTGTCTTTATTTTTATATATATATATATACATAATATATAAATGAAAAGCACAGCATTGTCTGTTGTTGCTTTCATTGAACAAGAGTCACTGTTTGAGGGGGGAAAAAAACAGGGAGAAAAGGGATCATCAATTAAATTAAATCCTAAACAACTTGAGATCCCTCTGCAAAAATCATTCATGATGAAACTATCTGAGCAAATGGAAGACGACAAACTCACGTCATGAGACCTGCTGGTTGCAAAAGGGATAAAAAGTGCTTGTTTTTTTGGCTGCTGGTTCTGAATGCACTCAGTAGCTGACTGGGGAGAGGGAGGGAGGGAGGAGAGAGAGAACAGACAGACAGGGAAAGAGAGAGGGGAAAGGGAAGGAAGAAAGAGAGAGAGGGAGAGAGCAAAGGAAAGGTAGGATTTAGTGGGGTGGGGGGGGGGGAGCTGCAAAAAAAAAAAAAAATCTGAGTCTGGTTAATTTCAAGCAGGAAGGAAAATAACAGCCTCTTAGGAAAAAAAAACCCACCCACCAGACTCACTCGCCATCTCCCAGAGCTGTTGGGGAACCCGGTGCCTTTTTTTATTTAGCAAAAACGGGGACAGACACCTAACAGAGGGGACCGATAAACCGTCCTCAAAAAGCGACCTCGATCTTGAGAGCGGAAAATGTTCAAGCGCGTGAGCGTGCTGTGGTTAGGGGTGTCCACTGCCGTGGTGTGGTTGAGCTGCCTGGAGTTGGTGGAAGCCGCTGCATGTGAGCCCATCAGGATCCCCATGTGCAGGTCAATGCCTTGGAACATGACCAAAATGCCCAACCATCTGCACCACAGCACACAGGATAACGCTGTGCTGGCGATCGAGCAGTACGAGGGGCTGGTGGGCATCAACTGCAGCCCGGCTCTGCTGTTCTTCCTCTGCGCTATGTATGCCCCCATCTGCACCATCGACTTCCAACACGAGCCCATCAAGCCGTGCAAGTCGGTGTGCCAGAGAGCCAGGGACGGCTGCGAGCCCATCATGAGAAGGTACAACCACAGCTGGCCAGAGAATCTGGCTTGTGAGGAGTTCCCCATGTACGATCGGGGAGTGTGTATATCTCCCGAAGCTATCGTGACAGTGGATGCACCTGGTGAGTACAGTATACATACATTTACAGTACGTACACACACCCATATATATGTGATAAGGCACATTAATACACATACCTATATAATATATATTTATGTGTCTGTGTACATATATACAATATATACATACAAATAGATATTGTATAAATACACAATATTTCACCCACAAAATATACAGTCAATTCGCTTTACAGTATATTCGGCGAAGCGCTTTGAGATGCCTCGAAGACGTGATTAGGCGCTGTATCAAATGCAAGGATAATTGTTAACATTCGGCTACGGTGGACGCAACTGCTTGCAGAAGCTCGAAGAAAACCCGAATTAACTTGAATTAAAAGGTATTCTTCTTCCAAAACAAAAGTCTCCAATGCTGAAAACAAAAGGTATTCATCATTAAAAGAGTGCTTCTCACTTGTAGAATTTTGTCCACAAAATACACATTCAATCAATCCACTACAATATATTCCGCGAGTGATGCAGCTCTATAATCAAATGCAAGGATTATTATAGCTACTCTTTTCCCATGTAAGCAGGGTCTGATTTCAGTAAAAAAAATCTTCTGTATTCACTGAACTTCTGAAAGTATTATAATAAGTTTCTTGTTGAACTAAATGTTGAGCTAGAGTTTTATTGCAGCTGCAAAGAATAGTCAGCACTAAGTTTACTCGGAATTCAGATCACAAAGAATATCGACTTTGAGAACATAAATGCATTCAATGCAATTACGTTCAAACCAGTTTTAATTGATTCCTGAGCTAAATATGAATGAAGTTGCATTATATCATTAAATAATTTGCTGAAAGAATACTGATTTAAACACTTTAAGTAGACAATTGGAAGCTGAATTGCCTACAAAAGTCTATTAAAATATCTGTACATAAACCTGTTGCATTTCCAAAAGCTCGAGAACTAAAGTTAACAGCTTTTGTGCTGAATAAGGTGTTAGAGTGAGCATGGACATTGATCGGTTCATCAAAAACCTTCAGTGGAAATTGTGACTGAATGATTTTTATTGTTCTTCAAGAAACATCCCCAGACATCGCCATCCATTCTAATGGTAATGACTGCAGAAGCACTGGAAGCGGTGAGTAATTTGCAAATAATTTATCTAATCTCCACTTTGCTATCAGTAAGCGGGCAAATGTTATTCTACTCCAGTTGTGAATCTTTCCATATGCTTCTAATAGAATTGCTCATTAGAGTAGCTCATTGATTCACTTCACTTTGTGAACCAAGCAGAAAAAAACTCAATTAAACTGGGTTTAAAAGAATACTTGATACTTGGTCTCCCGATGCAACCAAGCATTCAAGGCAATGCACGTGAATCTTAATAGCTCTACTGCAAAGCCATGCTACAGTTATGTTATCTTTCAATAGAATGAGGCTGGAATACACAAGCAGCAGAATTGCCCACTGTCCCTTAAAATATCCCTGAATGTCATGGTGTGCTAAGAGAATATGGTTAGTCTGTCTGATGTGTCGCTCTTTATGGTTTACAAATCTGACATTGGTGCAGTATTTTTATTTTTATTTAACAAATGACCATAACTGTGGCGGTTTCAATGCGTTCTCTGACCATAAATAACACTCCTAAAATGGTCCCAAATGTGAACAGTTCCGAAAACTGGTGGATGTTTGCTAGATGGTCACTGGATAGCTACAAGATGGGTGGCATTCAGCAAGGAGAGTAGTTGATGAAATTTACGCTTATATAAAGGGAGGTGCTACTTACTTCAGATACCTTTTTTCCAGTAGTTTCAATCCCTGGACATAGAGCAAGGAGTACACTCACTGGCTATAGTAGTTAGGTCTTTCCTGATTGAAAAGATAGAGCAAATCAGACTTGATTTGAATTTTCAGGTATTGCACTTCCTGAAAATTCAACACAAGGCAAATATATCAAATGCTAAAAATCTGATACAGAATCCATTCTGCTATCAGCCTAATCGACTTCAGAATTGTAGTGTAACACTGTCGAGTTGCACGTTGCTGCCAGGCTCACCCTCAGAAAATACCAGTCAGACCACAGATTTACAATGGGTTGGCCCCAGTGTACTACTGGAAACTGACAAAATGACATTGAAATTTGATAGACATTGGAAAATTCGAATGAAATAGTGCGCTGGGAAAACCTTTTATTAGTCTGACTGTATATCCTCTCCCTACAAGTGCAAGTGGGGGTAGCATCGTTACATATGCTTTTAGTCAAATTAGTATATTCCTTCACCCCACTTTACATAGTTCATTCAAAATCCCTTAGAACCCCCCACACCCCCACCCGGAAAAAACAATGTCGTAATGACTTCCTACTTTTTCACAGTACCCTCGGCAGCTCATTACCCCAGGTAGACAATGTGTTAATGAGTTTCTCACAACTCCTTGGTATCTCACAGGAGCCCCTCCTCTTGGCCATTCAACTGGTCACACAAGCTCATAGTGGGATAACTTCCCTCCCCCCTAGCCTCCCCTTCCCCCCAAGTTCCTCCATGAGCCACTGGGATTCAACGAGCTCCTCACTCTCTAGAGGGTCAAGTCATAATAAGTCCTGAGGTGACTCAACCTCTCCAAAGACTTCGCCAAGTGTCCCAGCCTCTCTTCCCACCCCAAAGATCTCTCACGGTCACATGTTCCTCACCCCCAATTTGTTACTCCCGAATTTCACAAACTCCAGGCTTCAGAGAGTAACTGTCTTTCTCCTGTTTTGCTAACCTTCCATCCTCCATCCAGAGGCGAGGAGAGATCAGACTTTATTTGGAAGTACGTTCAATGTTATTGAGGAGTTCCTAGATGTTAAATAGCCCGAAGAACGCTATTTAAATACAAGTTGTTGTCGTTGAATTAATTCTCTTTCATCTCTTAACAGATCGTTAAAATCAGATCCAAACCCTTACTCAATGTCTCATGGTCAATATTTGATGGCGCGAGGGGAAGGGGGCAAGTGGCGGTTGCAGCTAAATTATTTTAACGAATATATTTCTATGTGTCTTTTGGAGTAAGCTAAATGCCTTTCCTGTATTCCTGTGCTCAGACGGTTGCAAGTGCCCAACTTTAAAGCTGACTCAGAAGGTTTACCTGAGGAACAACTATAATTATGGTGAGTGCAATCTTTGCCGAACTGAGAGCAAGTCTTGCTCTTGCAGTGACTGAGGATGTTATAACAAGGCCCTTTTTCATTTCCCCCAAAGCAAAACATTACACATTTCAGTTACGTGCAAAAGGGGATTGAGTATAAATAAACTATTTTTTAAAAAAAGATTAAATAAGTCAATATACACTTGAAATGCGGTTAAATTATCTCAGAATCAACTTACTTATCCAGGCACAAATTTTATTTTCCTTTTTGCTTTTAAAGTTTGTCTTATCCCTGGCGAAATTATAAACAGCTCGATAATGAATTATAAATAAATAAGTTGTTCGACTAAGTGTTGCCACATTGCAATTTGAGACATCGAAAATATTTAAGACGCTTGAAGATTGATGAATATCATTTTCTTATGTGCATGGAATGTCCTTTTCCTACAATTTATGGTCCTGCCTGTCAAAAGTTCCCTTGTTCACTGATGAAGTTTATTTTTTAAATGGCTAATAGGACTTTACGTGTAAATCTTGCATACGTATGGGAATTTATATCTTTTATCAGCAATCTGTGTTAAAATAAGATCGAAAAGAGGCAATGGAAAATAAGTACAATACTATGCAGCAGAAAAACGTTTTCAAAGCTAATGTATTTAATCTTGACTGGCGTATAGAGTCCCGTAATGTGGTGGTTAGTGGGCTCGCCTCACAAACAAGACGACCCAGGTTCGATTCCAGGCCGGAGGGAGGTCCTTAGGCAAGATTCCTTACTCCAAACGCTTGTTTACCTAGTAATAAGTAGGACCCGGTTGCTAGTCGATTGATGGATCGCTTCTGGAGGTAATAATCCCTCCAAAAAAAAACATTTGGTCACTCAATCCATGACTTTGTGGGACACTGCTGTGCGCAATTGGTTGCTGCGATTTGCCCACAAATACACAGGCAATTCATTTTACAATATATTCTGTGAAGCGCTTTGAGACGTCTCAACGATGTGATGAAGACTATTTCAAATGCAAGGATTATTATTAATATTATCATTTTTTGTTTCTGGGAATGCTATAGATAGAAATACAGAGCCATTCAATATAAATGCTTCAGTGCACATGACTTGATCTTAGAGCTACTTTGCAATCCTAATAAAACATACAACTTCCTAGCCTACAATCCAGGGATTTGCAACTTAAATGTTACACCGCATATAAAATTAGGTATAAACAAGTGGATACACATACTTGAATGATAAAAAAAATTCATTAAGACTGTACAAACTGTGTATGTAGTTAAATCTGCAGAATTACAAATTACAAAAACTAAGATGGTTAGAACAAAATGCAAGCATTATTTTGCAATGGGTTATTATCATTCATACTTTCACATGCTTTAAATTCAATTGACCACTGACTGATTTTCCATTGCAGTCTGGAAAATAACACAAATTTCTGAGTCATGTGTAAAATGCTGAAATCAAGTTTGCTGGACGATGTCTGAGGACTCGGTTACTGTGTGATTCATTGGAAATGCATTTGCAGTTATTCGAGCCAGAGTGAAAGAAGTAAGAAATAAATGCCACGATGTTGCCACGACTGTGCAAGTGAAGGAGGTGCTGAAATCTTCCCTGGTGAATATTCCAAAGGAGACAGTCACACTTCACACGAGCTCGGCATGTCTCTGCCCTGAGATCAGGACCAATGAGGAGTACATTATCATGGGTTATGAAGACGAAGAGCGAGCCAGGTACAAATAGTGGGTCAGTGGTTAGAGCACTCGCCTCGCAAGCGAGAGAAGCTGGGTTCAATTCCCGGGCAGGTTAAAACCTTAGGCAAATTTTCTTACTCCACACGCATCTGTTTACCGAGATGTAAGTTGGAGCCCGGTTCTTAGTTAACTGATGGGTTGCTTTTCCGGCGGTAACAATCCCTTCAACAAAAACCAACACTAATTTGGTGTCCCAATCCGCGACTGTGTGTGGGACACTGTTGTGCTCAATTGGTGCCACAAAATATACAGTTAATTCACTTTACAGTGAAGCGCTTCGAGACGTCTCAACGACGTGATAAGGCACTATATATAATGCAATGCTTATTGTTGTATGACAACTTAAATATCAACAAATACACAAAAGTCAACTCAATTGATTGCTCTTAACGTACAATCGTCAGCATTACAAGTGAATGCTATTCTGTGTTGCGACAGGTTACTTTTGGTGGAGGGTTCCATAGCTGTGAAATGGAAGGATCGACTTGGCAAAAGGGTTAAGGTAAGGATTCTTTATCAGTGATTGCACGGATTGAATGAACCATTATGTTTTGTATCATCCCTTTTTGTCTGTACGGTTGTTGGAAACGCGGTTGGTGAAAACGATTGATTGCCACGGCCAAATAACTTGTTAAAAGAAGATTTATTGATTTATAATTTGTTCTGAAGGATAATACAGTATCACTAAATGATCCCAAAGAGAGATGATAAAGAGCTAACGTTTAAACACTCATCTTCTCGATCATAGTGTTGTTGAGTTGAGTTGTACATTGTATTTGCTCGTGTCTGTGAAGAGCACGGTAAAAAGTGATATGGTAAGTAATACATAATAATATGTGGATTGTGTTGGTACTTTGTGAATATCAGAACTGGGATCAGAAACTCCGACAGGATAAGAGGAAAGGAAGAAGTGGCTATCAGAACAGAGAGAAACGCATACAACCGAGAGACGTGACATCCAGAGCCAAAAAGAGCAACAAAGGCAATAATGCCAAGCCAGCACGTCAATAAAGAACATTTTTTTTGCACGAAAAGTCCCATTGGACAGTATGAAAAAAATAAACCTGCATTATCGGAGTGGCACAGGAAAATTGCACTATTGCACGTATGTCCTAATAGCGACTATCAAATTTAGCTATTCTGTAACTTTGTTATTGTTTTTTTTTGTCCTCTTTTGCACGAATGTTAATGTAAGGAGAAAGAATGCAGCATCGAATTGACGACCAGTATTGCGAGTATCGTGAAGCGAAGACTGTCTGTCTCAGAATTATTGTTGTTGGGAGTGAATTGGGCGAGCTGCTTTGTTAAGCGGATGGCACACATTTATTGCGTTTCTAGGCTATTCGACCCTGAAACTTTTCTCGCATGTTTGTCACTGAAGGAATGCCTGAACTCAGGCCTGGAATGTGTAAGGATTGAATTGTTCTGGCGTCACTGATATCCCAAGGACAAGGTTGTACAGTAGAGCCCCAGTTACGGAATTTGTGCATGTCAGACCTGATGATGCTCATGCTCATACCACTGGCTCAATTCAGTTCATAAGTGCGAGCAGAGGACCATAGGGATGGCCAACAGCACTTGTAAAACAAACACTGGATACAAAGCTATTTGGTCGTCAGGTGTGACCTAACTATAGCTATGATTAGTAACGGAGACAGCGTACAATCTCTCAAGGTGATTGCATCACATGAACAAGGCTTGCATCGAATTATGACATTTAGTTTTGAAATTTTATGTTTTATGAAGCATTAAATAAACAGTTCTTCGAAAATCACTTGACTCCGTACTGTGATTTACAAAACAGTTCCAACACAGTCTTACACTGGTATACCTAGAATAATAGGCCTGAGAGAATCCAAATTAATTCATGATTCATCTACGCATTCAGTCAGATAATTGTGGAGTCCTGTAGCTCAGAGGTTAGAGCACTCGCTTTGCAAGCGAGAGACCTGAGTTCAATTCCAGGCAGAGGGTGAAACCTTGGGCAAGTTTCCTTACTCCACACAGAGCCTAATAATAATCCCTCCAAAACAAAAAAAATAATAAATTGGTCATTTTCAATCTACGACTGTTTGTGGGACACTGCTGTGCGCAATTGGCTGCCGCGTTCGCCCACAAATATAGTCAATTCACTTTACAGTGTGTTCTGTGAAGCGCTTTGGGACGTCCTCCTGACGTGAAAAGCGCTATATCAAATGCAAGGATTATTATTATTATTATTATAATGAGACACAAAGTCAGGTGAATGTAGCTTCAGTAAACTAATTATTTTAAGACTGGATCAAATTGTCCATATGTTTTACTTTGCAGTCATCAGAATATTGCAGGTGGTTAGTTTAATAGGTTTTTCACAGCAGCAAACACACTGCTAGAAATTATGTGTTGGTATGATCTAGTGTAATAATAATAATCGTTGCATTCGATATAGCACCTTATGATGTCTTTGAGACGGCTCAAAGTGCTTCACAGAATATACTGTGAATTGACTGTATATTTTGTGGGAGAAATATACAAAATATTTACATTTTGTGGTGTAATGCAATATGAGTATCTAATCAAACCATTCAATATCTGTTTTCAAAGTTGATTAACCTTTAGTAAAACAAAATGAGCTAGATTTGTTTCGAGGGTTAAAGAGCCTTGTGAAGCCCTCAATTTGGCACAGAACGTTAAACAAAATAGCCCCAAAATAAGATTAATGCTTGGCTGTTCTCCCTGCCAAGGTATTCAAACCGTGTCTTTGTTATTTGTTCGACCCAAGGCTGCATTGTGTCATCTGTGTATATGTTGATAGTATATATATTTCCCAAGACTGTGACAGCACTGAGATACAAAGAGTAAAATCAGGTTTGTTCTATCAAACAACCTCCCATTGCCTTCTGTTATGCATGAATTCAATTCTCCTTGGATAGCTGATATATAGAATTCTCCGCTGCACAATACAAAATGACATTTTTATATGGGTTTTCACGTCGAGAGGACGTTCCAAGGCATTGATTATGATGTCCATTAGAAGGAATTTTGAGGTAAGGAAATGGATGTCCATTCCAGACCCTGTAATTGTGTGAGGATATTATTTTATAAAATAATTGGGAAAAGTCACTCGGAGTGAAGAGATATTCAGAAAATTAGAGATTTATGAGAATCAAACTGTAAATGTCTGTAAATTGTCTATAAACTATAAATGTCGTATGAACTAAGAGATTCAGTATAAACTTTTAACTTTTTCCTGGGTATCTGATAATGTATGTGGTTTGTGCTATTCTAATTTATTATAAAGAAAGAACGTACATTTCAGAAAAGTATGATATATTTTGTGCTGTCATCAATGAAGGTAGCAACTGCAAAACATCATCTGCAAAAGTGTTATAGGCAAGGACTATTTTCAATACGCTATATGTTAGACAGAAAATATAATGCTGCAATCTAATTAAGATGAGGGGCAAGTAGTTTTAGAAGGAGATAGAATTGAATCACTGCCCTCAATAACTTGATAATATTTGAATATTCTTTAATTTGCACTTTTGATATTGAATTGACATGGATTTCATATTAACGTCCACCACAATATAGTGTTATAAATAAAATGTTAAAGCCAGGAGTAAGTACATCAATAGTACAGTAGTGCTTTACAATTTCTGTATTAGTTTAAAAAGTCCCTGATTGTTTCATATACTGAAAAGCAAACACGATACATTAGTTAATGTATACTTCATCGCTGCAAAAGAGCCCTGTAAATTGTTTGTAATGAAAAATATGGTATCACAGAAAAGTCTTTCAGTTTGTTCAGGTATAATACAAAGTGTAGGATTAATGGTAAGAATTAACACAACTATCAGATTAGCTGCAGCTCCTCCTCCCATTGATCACTTGCTCAAAAGACTCAGCAGGAAAGGAAAGGGTGAGTTTTAATATTCATACCAGGAAAACAATGGCATTACTATATTACTAATGAATTGTGGAGTTCATTAGAGATTTCAATTTGAATCATAAGATAAAACTGGCTGTATTTGCGTCTTGAAGGATAACAATAAGAATAAATAAGGAACTTAAAATGTATTTACTATTGAGTTAATGCCACTCAAAACAAAATGCTTTCAGTGACACTCTGCACTCTATACTGCCTCTTTGGAAGCCACTTATCACCTAAATGGTCCTGGGATACAACAGACTGTGAATTTCTCTGTGATCACCTATAAGTAAGTTAGCACTTGTGATCAGTTGGCAGGAGGTGAGATTCAAATGGAGGATAAACTGGAGAATACCTGTCAACACCACTCCCCTACCCCATTGATAGCCGCCTTCTCTATATTTTATTTTTATTTTAAAAATCACACGTCATCCTTTGACTGAGAAAGAGGGCAGAAGATGATTTCCAGAACCTTATGACAATGGCTTTTGATAAAGAGGTGGGTGAGAGCCATGTAGATTGAATGTAGATTAGATTGACTCCAGAATGTTGCTTCACTCTCTTTGAAAAATGGTCTTTTGCCAGATAGTCAGATTAAATCTTATCTGAATCATATAACTCTCCACATATAGTAGAATCAGACTGGAGAAAGTGATGCTATAGATTAGAGTCAGTGGATTGCCCTGCGCCATATTACAGTCAAAATCAATTTAGAACGAAACAATTCCAATGCCCCCAATTCCTGTTTCACGTAACTGAATGGAATGACCCTGTCAGTTTGGAAATATTACCCACTTACAGTGAAAATCCGAGCACAAATCTTTCATTGTTTAGTCTATAAGGAGTAGTGAAATGCAAGTCATAGTTCAGTCAAAGCCAACGTCTTCAGTTATAAAACACATATCCTGTTTACATGAAGATGGATTATTTAGTATTCCTACACATAGAACGGTTTCTGTATTTTCATATCCTGTTTGCATATGGTATATCATTCAGTGTCATACAGAGATTTGTGTACTTTATTGAAGTGCCTTTGGAAATATAGATACAAGAAAGAATTTCTAAAATTCACCATTTTAAGAGCTCTTCACACATCTACTTGAGATTGACAGCACCACAGGAACCATCATCAACACAATGGCTCTTACAGTCACTGAGTTCACAATAGTGTCTGTAATCCTTGAATTTATACTCTGTCATTTTCTTTGAAGAGTTTACAGGGAACACCGGTTCTAAGATTGCATAGATTCTGGTGGGTAATGCCTGCAACACATCAGGAGGCTGGAAGTCAGGACCAAAGAGCAGGACATTACTGTGTAATGTCCCGCTGCCAGACCACTAGGATAAACAACATCTACTTGAATGAAAAACATCACAGTGGGGAGGGAAGAGAGGGAAGAAGAAAGGGGAAGAAAAACAGCAAAGAAGTCAGGGAATAAAACCGACAGAGAGAAAGAGAGAGAGCAAGAGTGCGAGAGACAGAAATATAAGCAGATGTGGATCAATGGAGAGAACAGGGAAAGAAAATACATTAAATACACCGAGGAGCGATAAACATCCCATTTTGAGAAGGAAGCCAGAGTAGTTTATAACTGTTATGATAAACTTGCTGGTGAGAGAGATGGTGAGTCACATTTTTAGAAAATAATATACAGTAGCATGTGGATTTCAGGGACTGAAGGTAATTATATTTTTGACTTGCACTTTTTCTCCAGAATTGGATGGTCTGACAGCCATTGGTGTCCAGAAATACATATCATGTATATTGTTACATATCTTCACATTGGAAAATCATTTAGTGTGTGATAAGATCCACAACTGCAGACTTAATGATTACAACACAAATCACAGCAAAGCATTAACAAACATTAAAATGGGCAACAGATTCTTCACTAATGGTATTCAGCTTCGGTTTAGCAGAGCTCTGTGCATGTAGTCTGCATCGACAAAGTATTCACTGTATTCACACTTAAGGCAAAAGCAATACAGGATAATTCCTGTCTGGCAGCAACAACAAATAAATTTGGTCATTAACTCCATGATCTGTTTGTCAGGCATGGCAATGCATAATAATAATAATAAAAATAATAATCCTTGCATTTGATATAGCACTTTTCATGTTTTCCAGATGTCTCAAAGCACTTCACAGAATATACTGTAAAGTGAATTGACTGTATATTTGTGGGCAAAATAAGGATTGGGTAAGGAGCTATATCAAATGCAAAGATTGTTATAACTTACATCTAGATATGGGTTAACGTAAATGATTGTCTCAAAGCACTTTAGAAAAAAAACTGATTAGAAGTGAAATTAATTTTGTGATTGTAATCACTGGTTTGAATTGATGCCTGTAATTGCTGTAATGACAAGTGAGAGAAACAACTCTGTACTGTGGGTTACTCTACTCCAGGCATCGGTTCAAACCAATGACTCGAGTATAACTGGCCCATAACTTAGAGGAAAGGTCAATCTTAAGTCAATTTAAGACTGCAAATTGTGCAGTAAAATTCATCAGGATCCTGCTGAATTGCAATATAAAGTAATATATTTCAAGGTACTTTAATGGATCTGAATAGTTAAAAAAATGTTTTGAAAAGAACACACAGGGCAGAATAGTTTCTCCTGCTTGTCATTACAGCAATTGCAGGCATCAATTCAAACCAGTGACTACAGTCATGGTGTTAAAACCGGTTACAATTTAAAACTGTTAAAGTGAATCACTTTCAGGATCCAACCTTTGCATCTTATAACCGGGACACTAATTCAAATCGAAATTTAATCTTTTAATTTAACATTTTAAACTTGCCATTTGAGACTCTGTGTATTTATAAACACTATAATTTCCATTTTAATCTGCTTTC